GACAACAAACAAGCATATTTCCCCGAATCTCTAACTGTTCTTTTGAGTATTTTCTGCACCCAAATGTATTAGCTAGCTTGTAACAATCTTGCTCATTAATGTATTTGGAGGATTTCAGTCCTGCCTCCCCCTCCCTCCCCCTCCCTCCAGTGAGCCATTCAGCACATAAAAGTAACTTTTTAATGAGATCATATTTCCCTTAATAGTATAACTTTACAATGAGTTGTAAAAGATAGAGATAATAGTGTTTTTAAACGTTCTTAAAAAACATGCAGACAACATTTGAGCATCTCACTTTCAGTAATAAAAAAGAATCAATTATACCAATTCTTTGCTATATCACATATAATGAAAAGGATAAGGGAAAGATTAGTCATATTTAATATTTGATTTTTATATATTCTTATAAAGGACTCCATGGATTGTTAATTTTTCAGCAGTTATTTCACAAGTAAGTCTTTTCCTAAGTACATTTTCAATATCTGCTTGTTAAATTGCAAATGGCCATTGCGTCATATCAAAAAAAGGGGCCACTTACTATACTCACAATGGAAATAAAATAACAAACCTGTAGTCTGATTAGTTACCATGGGTATAGTTAAATATTGCCAAAAACTTTCACTGCTGCTGTGAGTTAGTTATTCACATCCAAGTAGTTAGACATAATACCTTTATAGTAATTGAGAAATCACCACACATCACAATGCCCTAATGAAATTTCTTTTGGAAACACCGGGCATTGATCCTGTGCACTATGCATGGTATGGCAGGGTAACAGTGGCTGTAAGACTGTAATGAAGTCAAATGTACCTGTGTGTCCATCCCTGCAAATAAGGTGTTATAATACAGTACACTTGGTACTGTAACGTTATCATTGAAAGGTGCTGCTAAATGTCAGCCTAATAAACATATATTACTAGTGACTTATTTTAATAGTGTTTTAGTGATACAAGCTTTTGAAGTAGTCCATAATAGTGACACGTTTATTTATTACATAGCAGAAGTTGTACTTTTACAAGTGTCATTTACAGTGAGTGATTTTAATTTGAGTCTTGAACTCAAAGTGTGAACTGGACAAAGAGTAATATGTCTGACTTATTTTAACAAACTCTCAACACAGTTTCACTCTGTACATATGAATTATTCTGTGCAGGGTATTGCCTTTTATTGATGAGCACTCTGGGTTTTTGTCATGCGAGCAATATCAGAAAAATGGGGACATCTTACACTAATTTACAGAGGCTTTCAACAATGTCTATCTGTGTTTTTCATCCCATGTTCAAGGTTTTAGACATATAGATTTGTTTTGCTCACACTAAGCTGGTTAGACAAAGCCAGTCATCCACTGTGGCTGTGATGGATGTAAACTGTGGTAAATGTTGAGGTGACCGCTGTGCAAGTGGTCTGTGTGGTGCAAGTAACGTAATGGTAAAATGTCAGTAACCTACCTGCTGTACCAAATACTTCTGTCACTGAAAGAATTTTTCCTTTTGTCATGAGATTTTGTTTCTAATTGAGGTTACATGTCTGGATGATGGTGTTCCAATGTGTCACTGAACTCTTCAATAAACTGTGCTCCATTAACAATGTGGTGTTTTTCTTTGCCTCTGAGTTTTATTTTTTTAGTTATTAATTTTTAATTGTTTTTTGGTTGTGGTGTGTGTTAATATACTGAATATAACAACAGAAAAAAAAATAATTTTTCCCTCGAGGGATTATTCAAGTATACCTTTTTCCGTCTTCGTTTTCACCAAATTCTTTTGACATGAGAACAAAGCTTGCAGGCAGTCATCACCATGGTTCTGAGCTGATGAGTCACGCAGAGCTTTAATGTACCTTTTTAGTTATGGTTTTTGAAGGTTGTTTTCCCTTGTTTTTAATGCATCTACTTACAGTGCCCATTTTTTTCCACCAGGTGGCGCTTATCTCACAGGCTGCACCCCCGGATGTGACATATTGTTTTTTCCCACACCTTGATCACAAGGACAACAGGACATGTGTGTGTAATGTCTCCTCCTTCATTTAAAAAGCTATTATTGATTAATTGGTGTAAGTTTATTTCCATCCACTGGTAATAGCTGCACTTTTGCACTTCTTATTTGTAATTCTTTAATTCAATGTGACATATTTTCCAATAAAAATTAGGAGCTCCTTTTAATGGCCTCGACAAGAATAATAATCTATCATTGAGTGGATTATCTTTATATTCATAATTCAATTCATGATATTACTGTCTCTGTTTTTTCCATGTTAAATGTGATTAGGGTGGGAGATTGCTCTACGTTCTCTGACAGATACACACCAACAGCGTCTCTTTAAGAAAACATGTCTGTCACACTTGGCTCAAGGCAACAGCTCACTCAACCAATAAATTATTCAGGCTCCTGTGCCACTGAATTTAGACAGAACAGAGCTGGAAGGCCAGGCAGAAACAATACCACAAGTCCTCCTGCATCTTCCTTTAGTGAACGCTGCTACTCTTAAATAATCAAGACACTTCCTTTTAAGCACACTTATAAACGTGAGCCTTCAGCTTGGCCTACTTCACTTTAAAACAGGGAGGACAAGTGTATATGAGGCACCTCATGTAGTATGTGGTGATTCATGCGAGTGACATCATCCTTGTGATTCACACTCACCTCTTATTTTGGTAGACCACACTACATATATGCTTTCTGTGCACGGATTAGAAAATCTTAATGCCGATGAATTAAATAAAGCAAATGCATCAGATAGAAGTGGAGGAGACAGAGGGGGCCCAAGAGAGATGTTACACATCAAGCAAATGTGAGAGGGTGAGAGAGAGGGAGGGAGAGAGAGCAGTAGGAACGGTAGGACTGTGCAAAGAGCAAGGTCACAAAACACAATTGCATTGTGTTTCACTCAGGCTGAAACCTGAGCAGCCCAAGTATCCTACCACCAGATAGACAGTTCCTGTTCATTGCTGCTAAGCTAAGCTAAGTGTAATGGATACATGTGTGGATTATAATACAAGCATGATGGCATAATAAGCCCATTCACATTCTAGGTGAAACAGATTTTGACAATAGGTGTACAATGGAATACATTTAGAATCATACTTAAACATACAGTATGGTTGCCAGATAGTACATCTATATGCAGGTAACTTCCAAGCAAAAAGAAAATGTACAGATCTGATAGCAACAATCTCTACAGCCACCAAACTATTTCTGTCTGTAGTGTGCACATCAGGTCACTTGTACAAGGACACATTGACATTATTAGGCTCAGTCCTCCCATCTCTCCAATCAGCTCAATGACTGTCTAAGAGCTTCTAGACATGGCTCCGGGGGTTTAATCTTCACCTGTTCTCACTCTAGGTCTAGCTTTTACACAAGCTGAACTACCAGTGTTGATATTTTTCTCTCTGACAAAACATGAGTCCCATTATAAATTGATATGATTAATGTTTTAAGCAAATGTATTTTTTGCTACAAGCAATAAAAAAAAATAATTGTAAATCTTCAACATAAGGGCCAGTTGAAACAATGTATCAATTCAGATCATGCTGATAATTACATTTCAGAATAACTGTAATACAAGAGCCTTTTAGGTAAGAGATGCTGCAGTATGTATCTAAACATATTGGTTTCAAATGCAGCTCAAGAACATTTAGAGGTTTTGAGATCAACACATATTACATATTTACTCATTGACATCATTGACAATCATGAGCTGTTTTGTTCCATGGCTACAAGATGACGAGTTCAACACACCACTACCCACCCATCTTAAATAAAAAATAAAAAAATCTCTTGACTGTGTTTACCAGTATTGGAATTTATCATGTTTTTTCATTCATTTCTTGATCTAAAATAAGTCAATTTTAAATACATTTAAAACTAAACATTTGCCTATACAACTCTGTCAGTGTGTTGCCTTTTTAAATTACTGAATGTGAATAGTTGGTGAAATCCCCAAATGTACATAAAAACAGTCCTTTTTCACAGCAGACATTGACTTGTGATTGTGCGAAAAGCACAGGTGCAACTAATAACACAGTGTGACAGTGGGCCAGCATGCACAATACCAAGACCCTGCAACTGAAGCAGCTGAATGAAATTCAGCCACCATTCATTTTATTATTTACATACTGTGACGTGTCAAAATGTCTTCTGTGAAAAAGGCCTGCACTGATGCCATACCCTCAGTGTCCTCAATGATAGGCACAATAATAACAAATCATCTGACATCATTATTTTCATAGTTGTTATCTCTATTAAAGAAGACCATTGTCATCTCATATGATTAAGCAACAGCTTGCTCAATACAGAAGTGTAACCTACACACAGGCTTTTTTTAGAGAAGAGTAGGAAAGCACAGGTGTAAATTAAAGATGGCTGATTTCCATTTAGCTGCCTCAGTTTTAGGGTCCTGGTATTGAGCATGTTATTAGTAACACTTTTTCCTACTATGACAAGTCATCATGTCTGCTGTGAAAAAGGCCTATTGGTTTTGTATGTTTACCGTTTAACTTTCAGTATTTGCTGCAGTAGACGCAGGGTGTAGACACAAAATTGACGAGAGACGTACATGAGCTCCACATTTGCAAAAGAAATATATTTCTAATATTTCTGCGACAGTATAATACTGTTTCTGTTCTCTGAGATGCTTCATTGTGTGCTTCACTGAACAGGCAGTTTCCATGGCGCAGAGACCTGTTTTGTGCCAGTTTGTCTCCTCTCAGCTTGATGTCCCTGGCTTGACCTACTAAACCCTATTCATAACAAATGCATCCTGTTGTCCACTGCATTCAAAACAAGCCTGCAAGTAAACTTGGCTGCTTTTGGGAAAATATACAGTACCCCTGCTATTTTTTTTAACTTTAAATAAAAAGCATAACACAACAGCAGCTTTTATTTGAGGTGTTACTAATTTTGCTCCCTTTCTTTCTCCCTGCTTCCCCCTCCCCTCCCTCCCTCCCTCCTTTCCCACTACTGCATTGATGCTGTTACCTCCCTCGGTGGTGATGTCACCGGCTCAGTGGAGCTCGAGCATCCTCCTCACCAAAGGCAGGGAGACAACAGAGCCATTTTGACCGCTTTGGTGTGTGAAGAAGCGGCCGACCATCCAAACAACCGACCGGGCCACCTTCCTGGGTCCCCACTCAAGACAGGGCAGAGGGGGCGGGTTGGCGGGCACAAGACACTGTCGGCGGTAACCTCAGTTTTCATGGAGAGGAGAGACTGTTAGCAGGGGCAGTGCCAGACCTGGAGGAGACCAGAGGAGGTGGAAGTAGCTACGGGGGCTGGATAATAAAGCAGGAGCACGAAAAACACGGTCTCCACACGGGGGAAGACGTTATTGGCACTGCAGAGGTAGGTTCACCTTTTTCATTTTTCCATTGTTCCGCCGGTAATGCAGTTTTAATGAGACAGTATTTACTTAGTGTTAAATCTCCTGGGAAGAGATGGGCATAGGGTGCGGCCATTGAAGAGGCTGTCAATGTCGGAAAGAGTATAGAGTCATAATGACATTAAAGCTGCTCTATTACACAGTTCACGCACTGTCATGCTATTGTATTGCTTATATTGTTTGATAAAATGTCTTTTAATTGTGTGAGAAGGGAGACAGGAATAAATGCCCTGTCATTGGGCGACATGAAACTACGAGGCGTATTGCTAAAGCTGTTAGCCTAATTGAAGACGTGTTATATGATAAGCTCCGAAAATGACGCAATAAGTATTTTAGAAAGTAATTACAGCAATTAATTATCAATGTCCGCCTCACAAATATTGGTTCCTTAAGCCGGTGTTGACCTGTGCTCTATGTCTTTGCTGTCATGCGAAAAAGCATCTGATTAAATACAAATATATATATATTTTTTTTAATGAGTGACAAGGTAATACTGTATCAAACTGTCGTCATGCTCAAATACACACCAGCATGGTGTATTACATTAGCCTTTGTCACCGGGAAAATGGTGGCCGCCCAGCTGAGCTGCATCATCAGCTGATTGGTCTGAGCATCTGTATGAAAAGATTATGGACATGGATGTTGACGGGAAAAAAGCAGATTTTGTTTTTTGTAGAACTTAAAGTGTTGTTTTTTACACATCATATATATAGTCTATAAGATATTCTGTTTCAGTGGGTGAACAAACGATACGTTTAAGCATCTTCATCAGTTCATTTCAAATATCAAAACAATATTGAATTTGATGTTGAACCCCTTTATAATTAAATGTATTTTATTTAAAAATCCTAATTTGTCCTCAGTGGACAGTATGGTTGCACCTTAAAAACCAGAAAACTAGAATTCTTCCCACAAAGTTACTCGCATACATTTCACAAATGAATCTGTTTAGGGGCCAGCTGTGGAGGATGTACCAGGAAGCAGGGTGACACAGCAGATTTACAACACTCAATTATAATGACAGATGTCTGAGTCACAAACCATAGCAACATACTGAATATTGATACAAAAACCCAACATTCCCCCAAATCTGCGTACATTAGGTTAAAGAAATGTCTCTTTCTCTTGTTAATATGCTGTAAAATGTGACCGTTTATAAATGTTCGATTGAGGCATGCAGTGAAAGCTAATTATATCATATTGCCCGCTGTTAAAGCTTATTGATGAAAACATTAAATGATTGTCATTTGATCGCCACAGATGATGAGTCACGCTTGCTCTTGATACACCCACAACGCTATCACACACTAAAATCACACAGTGATTGAATGTTCATATTTAGTCTTTTAGGAGATGGTGTGACGAGTTGTTCATGAAACCGAGTTGCTGAATGAAGCCAGACCCTGGATTTGTGGCCGGTTTCAGTGCCATTGTCATCCAGGGAAATGGCCTGACATTTAGCTGCTGCTGCACTTCTTTTGTTACCGCTAGCTTTATTATCCATCTCCCTTGGCTGTAGCTGACCATGCATGGTCTTTTCATGTTACAGCCACACAGCCCTGCCCTCCTCTATTGTGCTGATCACGTCAACCGTGAGGTGTAATATTCAGCCCTTACAATTTTTAACACTAATGTAAAAATAAAACCTCTTTGTAACATAACGTGACAAAAACATATCATAACTTAACATAACATAACACAACACTCTCTTACAGCATGTCATTTACATATGAACTGATAAAGGGGGAAAAAAGCTACATTTTATTAATTAGGATTCATTATCTGCTCCCTTCTACAGACTTGTGGGCCCTACACCTGGGCACTAAAGAAGGTGCTAGGAAGACAGCACCATGGCAGGGGCCTCTGTGAAGGTGGCGGTGCGTGTCCGCCCCTTCAATTCAAGGGAGATTGGAAAAGAAAGCAAATGCATCATTCAGATGTCTGGAAACACCACCAGTAAGTACTGAGCTTAAAATTCACCTATTCACCTGCAGTATGTGTGTTATGTATACTAGTTTGGTTTCATGTTTTGAAAGCGGTTTGCAGAAGGCACCCAGCTAGATGTGAGCTCGAGCAGGGGGATCCGGTTCTGGCTCCTCTGAACTATGACTGACCTTGACCTCTGACCTCCCTGTGCGAGGAGATTAATGAAAAGATAAACTCCCCCTGCATAGTACCAGTGGTGACTGTGCTAGTCTCCTGTGAACAAGCAAGACCTATTCCAAGACATGTGGTATGAGCAGGAAATGTATTCAGAATCAGCTTTAGTTCCAGACGCAGGTTATTCAGATACTGTAGGAGATCATTTTGATCTATCGATGGAGAAAATGTTACCTTGTTGAGCTTGTCTGCAGGATTGACGTTTAATTACAGTCAATCTTTTCAGTTACTAAATAGAGCGTGCAGTAAAGCAGTTGTCAAAATGAAATCCCTTCATCATCATGCTGTAGGTGACATAATCTCCTGCACATTTGACCTGATATTTATTTAGGGCAATCCTGTTATTTTTTTGTATGGTCAGATTGAGCCAGATTTAAAAATGGCTCCTTATTCAACATTTTATAATTAATCTTTCTTTTCAAATCTGCCATCAGTCTAAAACTGGGTCTGAATATATAATTTCTTGTCTGCACAATACACTGCAGTGTACAGCCCCAACCCTGACTAACACCATTAAGACAGAATGGGAAGTGAAATTGGGTGAACAATTATTGGAGGATATCTACAAGAGCCTGAAATATACGGTGTTCGGGTAATGCATGTCACTGCTTAATACAGTTTAAAGTATTGCTAAGATTGCACTAAGGTTGGGAAGAGTTCAACGACACCTCTTATCTTATGGACTTCTCACTGCTAAGAAGGTCATTCTTCTTTACTCAGGGGTAATAAGAAATATAATATATAATAAATAACTCAAATCCTGTATATAACCAACAATACATGTAACGTAGGTAACTGTATTGTATATTTTGACGTTTAGTTCTTTGGTGTATGTTTGTCTACTTTGAAAATAGAAAAAGGAGGCATGCTTATGTGGATGTCATGTATGATGTGGCTCCAACTCCTCACAGTCATAATATCTGAAACAAATCTGCCACCAATGCAAATATGCAATAAGCACAATAATAACAGTAAATCTGGAAGAAATTTTTCCGGAATGATTTTGTCCATATAAACATTTGGAAGTGCCATTTCTTCCGTACATCATCTAGCTAGAGTATAGTTTCTCTGTAAAACTTAGTGTATTTGGTGCCATATGTTGTACATTTTTTAAGTATGTAGATCAGAATGCCCCACATTCCTCGGGTTATACAGTACACAGAGCGAGGACTCTTGTCGAGATGAGACTGGAAAGATACTCGATATGTAGTCTGCTTAGCAAGGTAAAGCCGTTTGTCAATAATGAATGAGGCTTCCTGAAATATTTACCGTTTGGCCTAATTTAGCCTTCTCCCCCTCCTTCCTCATGTCATGGGTGACTAGACAACAAGCTGGGTGGCTTTTTTGGGCTGTCATATTTTAACTTTGTGATTTGTTGCATTTGTGATGTAGATCCTGGCTAGACTTAATACTTACAATCTTAAAAAACTCTTTGTCATTAATTGTTCCTTTTTTTGACTAGTCCAGTTAAAGATTTTACAGCATGATGGTGACAAAATTTTGTTGACACCTACAGTAAGAGTGGTTTCATTACCTTGGCACAGAGCTCCTTCTTCTGTCTCTACAGCAGTGGACAATGAGTATTTTGCTGTCAGCAGTGTAAGGTTAGATCAGAGACACTGTAATCCACAGGGAATATATTTACAGTGTGAATGCCCTTGGAGACATCCCGTTTGTTTTATCTAAAGCCAGTTTTTTGTTGTTTAATTAAGCATATAAGCCAAGTACATGTAACTTGAAAATATTTAGTGTAGTGATCACTTGTTCTTTACTTGATGCTAATTTGGTTCATTCAGCAGTATATGACATCAGTCATGCTGTCAAAGCACTGTAGGCATTGTATAACACATACCATAGATCACTCTTTTCTAAAAAGACCAGGAGCCAAAACTGACTGCAAAAAATATTTTAAGTACCTAGCTGCTTCTGGTTTTTGTTTTTTCAGAAATGTAGTTTTATTTATTACAGTAATATCAGAAGTAGCTATGGCATCTAATATAAGTAACACAATATTTTCTCTAAAAACCTGATCTTTGCTGTATATCATTTTTGTATATATTTTTTTTTTATGAGTAGCATTAAGGGAACTACAAACTTAATTTCAAACAATGCTGGGTTGTAAAATTAGCTCTTGGGTTTGATTGTGACATACTCAAGGGAAGTCTTCTTCACTGATCACTTCACAGACAAAAGTTGGTCTGTGTGAACAGATTTTAGTCAGGCCTAAGTCCTGATTCTGTTTAATCAATCGACCTTAAAATCCAGAGATTAAACTGAGTTTAGCATTATGTCAGCAGTACTAGAAAACTTCTTCTTAGTCGGACCCACACAGACCACAAAGCTGCTTTCAGTGAGGCTGCAGCTCTTTCAGTAGAGCAGATTGTTCTTTTCCAAACTGAGTCAATGGCTCTGGATGTGAACTGGAGAATGTAAGCAGACTGATGTCATGAAAAAGCCCATTGGTTGCAGTGTCTGGAGGGGGTACAGAGGCAGGGTATAAATGCCCCCTTGTCTTTTTGTAAACTGGGCTGAGGAAAGGAAGAAGAAGAAGGAGTTGTGAGGTTTTTTTGTGTGTGTCTCACTCTCTGCTTTGTGCTCTCTGACACTCGTGTGGGTCAATAGCCCAGTTCCCACAAAGCAGGAGAATGGCAGTAATCTTGTTGTTTGAGAGATCTTCCCTCCCACGCTGACCTTAATTAAGATGCAGGGGATAGACCTGAAGGAAAAATAGACCTTGCTTTAGAGGGCCATTGGGTGCATATACTTGGTGGATAGTTTTAAGTGTATATTGCCGCAAAAAACTTTTAAACTTCTAAGAAATTTCACTACTGGACTGACTCAAAATATCTCTGTATATATCTAACCATTAGAACTCTAGGTAATATACTTTAGGTAATATCGACAAATGTAAAAGTTTATATCCCACCACGATGGCAAATTTATGTTGTTGTGGTGTAGTCTCTGTGTAAACAAATTCACATGAATTTAATTGATTATAAGGCAAACTGAGTGAATTCATGTTACTTTGAGCATAAATCATGATTTGTACTGCTCTATAATGCTAATTATGGCACAACATAGACTGCTAAAGTAGTAAAGTAAACTCGGATAGAAGCCCAACATAAAGCAGCAGACAACATACCGCCTACACACAGTGCTGCTGCTGCTGAATATAGCATCTATGTGGCTCTCCTCCAGTCTCTGTCTGTCAGTGGGTTCACATCCCCTCTGCCAGACCTGCTGACGCGGCCACATTTCCTCTCCTATTGACTGGGGCAGGTCACCCGTGACTGTCTGACAAACATCACTCAGTCACAATTATGAAGACCTAGCAGCTATGACAAAGACAAACATGGAATGTGCCATAATGGGAATCTGAAAATATAATGTATGACAACTGAAATGAAGCTAGATCAGATAACTGCCACTGTAGTTAGGATAAATGATGTGAGATGTGTGCATCACTGACAGTGATAGGTATAGGTCTACAAAAAAGTGAGCATACTAAACATTACACCTGGTGAAAAGGTGCACACCTTTTTCAATTTAGGATACATCAAAATTTTAAATAACATTTTTTCCAATTCAAAACTGTGTACTTTTAAAAGTTAAAAATATCATCAATGCAACATGTAACTCTCAAAAATAGTTGCAACTTTGTAATATGTAATACATTGTACTAATGTAATATGCAGTGTATCTAATCATTGGTAATGCACAATTATTCAGCAGTGATGTAATAAGACCCTGTATTTGAAAGAATTAGCAGTAAAATAAAAAAATGTGAACAAGGGTTAGACTTAAGTTAGTATTTAGGTAAGTACTTACTAACTGGATCTATCTATTAGTCAATGAAATTGATTTGAAGTAATTTTAACTAAGAATATCCCCCCCAAAATCACAGGTAGTGGGTATTCACATTTAAAGAGTACCTGTGATTTTCTGGGTTTTTAAATGAAAATTAATATTTTGGGGCTTTGGAACATCAGACAAAACAAGACAATGACAATGTGTCAGCCTGGGTTGTGGAAAGTATAGATTATTTACTCTTTTCTGATAGTTTATAACTAAATGCCTTATCAGTCAAAAAAATAAGTGACAGATTATTCAATAATGAAAATGAAAGTCAGTTGCGGCCCTACCATGAAGAATAAATTACTTCCAACTAATCGATAATAAGCTAAGAAGTATTTACAAAACAGCTCTGAATCAAGGACTGTATAGATTATATATTACTTTACAACAAGGGTCAACTAAGTGTTTTTTGTGTCTTATTTTCACTTAAGAACAATTGGAACATGTTTCCATTCATTTTACTGTTAATACTCTATTGGTGGATTATTATTTTGTGCTGTAAAAATAAGTGGGAATATCAGAAGTGATTTTAAACTAAAATAAAGTCAGTAGTAGTGGTCCGTACGAGCAAACATTGTGTTGATAAAAGCGTAGATATGATACACACTTCTGACCACCTCTGGTGACAAGGTTTGCAAGAACATTGCCAGAAGAAAAATGAGCCGCTGTTGTATCCTATCTAATGACGTTTACCTTCCATGACATGACCTCCAGACCCGGCGTCATCTATAAAGGCAACACCTCGTAATTAAAAAGCGTTTCCATCATAAAAGAGTAGACAGGTAGTAAAGGGGGGTATGATGAAGATGGGAGATGTGCTCTGTGTACTAAAAATGTTACTAAAACTGGCCTCAGGTGGAGATTACTCTGACACGCAAGCTGTGACCACTGACAACGTCATCCAAGCTACTGAGTTCAATTTAAATAGGCAACAGCACTGCCCCCTGTAACACTTGTATATGCTGCCAATCACTGCCACTCTAAAGTAATTACCTCTTAGAGAGCAGGGCGCTTTTCTTTCCGGTATTGGAGTATGGGGGGGTTGTCTTGTATGAATCATACCACAATCAGAGATGAGTAAGCAATGAGAGGATGTTAGAGGCTCTGCTTCTGGTTAATAATCAGATCTTAATATATTTTCCATTTTAGAGGTTTGATACAATAATCCATGTCTACTTTTAGAATTGGTTTATTTCATGGCTTTCTTTTGTTATAGAATCCATATTGTATAGAACCAGGTCAGCGTTATTTACCAGGAAAACCAATCAATTTCTTCCCTGTTTTCACCACGTTGCAGCTTGTAGGATGGGACCTTCATGGACCTTTATTCATTGTCAAGTTGTACTAGATACACAGTATAGATATATACTGTGCATCGATAAAGGCTTTAACAGATCGGCATTTAACACCCAGGATGTGTGCTAATGTTGCATATAGGCACTGGTTGTTGCTTTTTACACGATATTATAAGAAAGATACAGTGACACACTCATATTTTTCTAGTGTTTCACCTGCATCATCACTTTACATAAACAGCAAATTTCGTTGGAAAGTGGTTAGTTAGGATAGGTGAAAGTAATTGAGTTATATTTGTATTTAACCAGATTTATTATTTTACTACTTGTAAACAATTGAACAGCATATTTCCAGAATATGTGAGCAATCTGGCTTTGTAATGGGCAACAACAGCAGATTTCATTTGAACAGGCAACAAGGGTGAACTCAAAACCATCACTGATACACAACTGTCATTAATGGAGGGATTATTAAGTATTGCTTGATTAATGTTCACTGTCCTTAGATTCTAAATAGATATTTAGTTCTAACTGGAATTTCTAACAATGTCTGATGTAATGACACTGTAAAAGACCATTTGTGGCAAGACACTGCACAGTAGGGGTAATGAGCAGTATGGAAAACATTTCTGGCTGACTAATACAATTGATTCTGTAGCTGTGGTTAGCAGCAAACCTTGTGTATTTTATGACAATTACAAGCACAGAATACACTACTGATATGAAAGAGAGCATTGTGTGTAAACTGTAGTGCACCTGTGTTCATATTTGGCCGTCTTCCAGAGTACCTGGACACATCATGCCAAGTAAATGAGGCCTGAAACCTGAAACGCCAGTCAGCCACACTGGCCTATATTTTATAGCTAGAAATACAGTAGCAGTGAAGAGAGGAAATAACACTGTGTACACTTACTTGAGAGTGTACTTAGCCCTGGGCCCTTTCCTCTATTATCGACCGCATCTGCATTAGCAGAAAAAATGGTGTCTGGAGCTCTGGGAGCAGGGAGGAAGCATTTTCAGAGTTGGTATCACCAGACCACACCAGAGATGTTGTTTTTGAGTGGGCACGCTACCAGGCCCTGTAGTATTCACACAAATACGCCTTGATATCAATATTTCAATAATGATAGATGCCTTTAGAAAAAAGCAAGAGTAATTTGCATTTACAGTACATATCTAATATTTTGAGTTTAACTACACAATATAAATTGTAATTGTAAAATGTATCTCTAAATCACGAGTATAAACTGGCAGTAGGCCCTAGCTTCTCATTACAAAGGCTTTATTTGTTTCTGAAAACATTTTCCTACATAACCTTCACTGCTGTTGCTGCATGTTGATTTGTCAGTTGAAAATTGAGGTTATTATTCTTTCTCATGGCTCATTTGTCTGATCCCATTTATAATGAATATGAAATATAAATTATTATTGTATCAAAAAAGCATGTGTTTTCTTTTAGGCATTGTGTTGAAAGAAGCAGTCCTATACTATACTACTATAAGATACTGTGTAACCTTTCCAGACGTATGTACTGTACATGTACAGCTTTATTAGCCACAAACAAGCCATATCAGCCACTCTTCATTAAAAAGCGTGAGAACTCAAGAATACAATAGGAATAACACAACTAATAGATGAAGTGAACCCTAAGAAGATGTATGTCATAAATCATAAAGTGAATGAGTACCTCCATTTTGTTGTTTGGGTCATGAAGCAGACGTATCTAATCTCAGGTTAGCTCAGATATCAAGAGGAAATGATTTGATCATAATTTAACTACGAAGATTTGTTTGAGTCATCGTTGGTAATCCTGGAGAAGTAAATCGACAAACCAGAATGTTTAGACTGGGATTCACTGTGATTTAAAAAAACCATCATGAATCAATGAGAAAGGGCACATTGTGTTTGTATTATTTAAAGTGATTAGTGTTTACTGCGACTGATTAAAGACACAACTTCAACTCATCAAGTAGGCTGAGTCTGTTGTTGGCTTGAAGCTTGCCACCCTGGAGGAGGTGGTGGAGGACAGGATGCTAGCAAAACTGCTGGATATCATGGACAATCCCTCCCACCCCCTCCACACAACACTGGACAAGCTAAAGAGCAGCTTCAGCAACAGACTCATTCAACCCCACTGCAAGAAGGAACAATACAGGAGATTGTTCCTTCCAAGTGCCATAAGACTTTTTAATAATAATTGACGCTAAACTCAGCTGCTATGACGTTATAATTTCCTTTCGGGGATAAATAAAGTATTTTCTATTCTATTCTATTTTATTCTATTCTATGTAATCTTAACAAAGGGGAGAAGATAAATTATGTACTTTGTATGTGATGGGAGATATGTATACTGATGTTAATGTGATTATGTATAAGTACAGTGATGGTTAAGGGACAAAATGTTTGTGAGTCCTCTTCATCCTTTCCTCTTTTACTTCTGGAGTCCCCCAACAGGCATATGAAGTATAGAGTTTAACTCATGGGCGAGGACTACATATGGATTAGAATAAGGCTAACTGGGTGTCTATGTCTGTGAGACCTCTTTGAGCTCAATGTGATTATGACTATGAATCAATATTACAATATTATAGAAGAGTTTTTCTGATGGCTAACAAGGGTCAACGGAGCCTGATGAAGTGCAGCTCAGGGCTGAGGGTTGTTTCACCCTGAGACTGTTGAAAGATGAGCTGAGCCTGACAAACTAAGCCTGAGCGGTCCTAAAATGGCCACTGGTAGACAGAGAAACCTAACAACATGGCCTTTTAATCTGGCACCACCGTCAGGCCAAACTGTACATTTGAAAGGAAGTAAGAATAGCAAAATAGTTTATTTTTTTACTTAATAATTTAGTTATTTTTGGTGTGTAATGTGTGTTACAGCCTCACAGGGCCACCAGCAGGGCTATACTGCAGATTTTTCTCACAGTTGACACATACATTCACAAGTTTGTATGCTTAGAGTTTGATTCATAATGTTGAAACTTGAAATCAAACCTAAACTCTTCACTTGCACAAACAAGTAGAGCAAAAAGACAGTTAACCACTGGTCAGTAGTGAGTCCATCTATTAGTTCACCAAAACCTGAAAATATTTACATATATTTATACATATTTGTATTCCGTGTCTAGGTCTAAGTCTAAGGCCTTCTCAGCTCTATTAGCACAACATGACACCGACTCAGCTCAGATACAGTTTCACATGGGCTGCTCTCACCCTTCCTCTGACCCGTGTTCCTTGTCCTGTCTTTCAGCCATCATCAACCCCAAGCAGGCCAAAGACAACAAGAGCTTCAACTTTGATTACTCCTACTGGTCCCACACCTCGGTAACTCTTTTTCCACCCCCACATCGCAAATGTTGTACAGACACACCAGCAAACACACACAAACGCACACACTTTTTCATTACTATGCATCACTTTTGTTGCGTTTGACTGATTATTGATCTCTGTACACAGCCCGAGGACATCAATTTTGCCTCTCAGATGCTAGTGTACAAAGACATCGGAGAGGAAATGTTGCTGCATGCCTTCGAAGGATACAACGTCTGCATCTTTGCTTATGGTCAGACGGGCGCTGGCAAGTCGTACACCATGATGGGGAAACAGGATGTCAAAGATCAACAAGGAATCATTCCCCTGGTACAGACTTATTGTGATTACTTGACGAGTGCTGATCATAAATCAAAGGAAAGATGATTTTAAATTTCTGTATGAATGTAACAACTGTGGAAGTAATGTTGTTGTTTTTCTTTTTCCAGATGTGTGAAGATCTTTTCACAAAGATAAATTACAATGCAGACAACAGCATGTCTTACTCTGTGGAGGTAGGCAGTGGTACCCCATGTCATCCTGTTTAGTTTACAGTTTTTTTGTCAGGGACCATGTACAAAAAACACCAATCTAACACAAAGAGAAGAGAGTAATGCACTAGATTTAGCTTCTAATACCTGGCCAGGTAGACACAAACACTAATATTACTAATGTAATTAATACAAATACATGTACACTGTACATGCAGTATACCTGAATCTGACACCTGTTATGAATGTTCAAACTAATATTATTTATCTGAACAGGTAAGCTACATGGAAATCTACTGTGAACGTGTGCGGGACTTACTGAACCCCAAAAATAAAGGGAACCTGCGTGTTCGAGAACACCCTCTGATGGGGCCTTATGTTGAGGACCTGTCTAAGCTGGCTGTCACCTCCTACAATGATATCCAGGACCTGATGGACTCTGGCAACAAGGCCAGGTGATGGAGCTGTTTATTCATTCACACTGTTGTTGTTGTAGTGTGTACCATTTTTGGTTCTTGCCTGGGAGTCTTTTGCATAGTGAAAAATACATGTCACGTACCAGAAGTTTATGTTTATGTTAGGGCCTGAATTAAACATCACAAATACACCAAAGACATTTCTGATAAAATGGAGGAACATGCAAAAGTTCAGCTTATCATTTATACTGTACCTATTTGCACATTCATTATAAAACATCCAAACAAACAGCTTGCTGCACAGACTGATAAAAATGTATTTACTGTCTGTACAGGACTGTGGCTGCCACCAACATGAATGAGACAAGCAGTCGCTCGCATGCTGTCTTCAATATCATATTCACTCAGAAACGTCATGATGCTGAGACTGATAACACCTCTGAGAAGGTAAAGTTTTATCATGTCCTGAATTAACTTGTTTAACATTGAGCAGTTGCCTCTCCTTATCTATGAGCTGATTGATGATGCTGATTAAAATCTTGTCGGAAATTGGAAATCAATGATTACTTGAAGGTCATGCTGTAATGCTAAGGTAACATGTCTCTGGAATAGATTGAATAGCTTTAGCTTTTCTGTTGTCAGCTAATGTGTTGCAGTTGAATAACTGTCTGTTTTGTTGCAGGTCAGTAAAATAAGTCTGGTGGATCTGGCTGGCAGTGAGAGGGCTGATTCTACTGGAGCCAAAGGGACCAGGCTTAAGGTGAAATGTTTTCCTTAACTGCATCTTGGATATTCCAACCCAGATCTGAAAACACATTTCCTTGTCTATATAGGAAACAATCACTATGAAATCCATATTAAAGCAATCAATCAGTGTGTTTACTTTCAATAATTTATCTTCTTCTTGCTCACAGGAAGGAGCAAATATAAACAAATCTCTAACTACACTGGGGAAAGTCATCTCTGCTCTGGCAGAAGTGGTATGTATTATATCTGCATATTGTACATCGTAAGATAAAGCAGATGTTATTTTGGATAAATGTATAATTTTTTCTGTTTATTCATTTTAGGACTCTGGGTCGAATAAGGTAATTTATTGTTATTATTATAATATTTTGTTTTTACCTAACTACCATAAATACATAGATTGGAATTTTGTGTTTTAATTTGACACACAGAATAAAAAGAAGAAGAAAGTGGAAAGCTTCATCCCCTACAGAGATTCAGTTCTGACCTGGCTACTGAGAGAAAATTTGGGTATGATCACAATATTTCTATGTTTGACAAGCTCATGTTCTTACTGATCCATTATTTCTCGACAAACTGAACCAAAGTGTTTTCTTCATTATGTCAGGGGGGAATTCTCGTACTGCGATGGTAGCAGCCCTGAGTCCAGCTGACATCAACTACGATGAGACCCTCAGCACCCTCAGGTATTGAGCACACAACACATCTTATACTGTTTCCCTTTCGTTCCACACTCGCTGAATGTGGCTCTGAAGGATATGGATGCAAGTGAGACCAAAGTGTTGTGTAATACACATTTTACTCAGCGGCTTGCATCACTTTCACACTTCAAACACCCTTCACGAGTTGCAGTGCCAGGCTGCACAATCGTGTAGATGTGTGTTGTCAGGGGGATGATGAATATGTGTGGGTGCCTTTATGCCTGCTCCCTCACCTGTGTTAGCGTACCCAATGATCCCTCCCATATACCCACAGGTATGCAGACCGCGCCAAACAGATTCGCTGTAATGCTGTAATCAATGAAGATCCCAACAACCGATTGGTGCGCGAGCTGAAGGAGGAGGTGTCTCGCCTGAAAGATCTCCTCTACGCCCAGGGCTTGGGTGACATCATTGAGAGTAAGGGATCATTTATTGGGTTTATGTGACCATTAGTGCTATCTCTAGATTTGATTTCAAATGTTTGCAATGGTTTGAGATCCTTTCATTAGTGACTGCACGCTATTCTCAATGATATACTGTCTCACCTCAGCCCACACAGCACCCATCACACACACTGCACTTAAGTTCTCCCTGTGCTCACAAACATTGTGTGTGTTGATGTGCATTTAGATATAACACGAAGCAAATTAAGAGCCAGGGCAGAAAAATCAATGGAAAGACGTGAATGGAGATGAACAGATAGCAACAAAGTGCAGTTTACTCCCAAGTTGTGGGGGAAAAACAAGACTGGAAACAGTGGGGGAAGGGTTTCAAGCATTATCTTTTGGAGCTAGCATGTTGAGAAAGCTTATAGTTTAGCATATAATAGAAAGTCAGTGTTACAAACTGGAGGTGTGGAGTTTAAAATTGTGGGCATTTACTGGGCATGGAGGGTCTAATGAAAAGATGCTATTGAGTTGCATTTTTGTTCAAATAGGGCAGGTCAACAAGAAGAACTTAATGCACCTTGTCCCCTTCTTTATTGCATCTTCACATTTGTCACAGAAATTATTTTTTTTCATTGTTGTTGCTGAACCAATAAGCAATTTGTTGTCTGAGAAAAAATGTCATTATTAATTAAAATGCAAAGCTATATATCTTGTACTAAGAGCAGTGGAGTCAAATTGATGTTTATTTATGTTGACTGCTCTGCTCAGGTGTTCAGCAAATAATAAGTGAATGTTTAAATCCGTGAACATTTATCTAAAGGTGTTACGCTGTCTCTTTTTCTCTTTCACTTTTTTCTGCCACTCTTTATCTTCTCTTCTCCCAGCATATCGAGCATCTGGTGCTGACATAGAGGGTTTGAAATGTGTGTTTTCTGGCTCTTGCTTTTGCTCTTGTTGCAGCTTAGCATCACCGGTGCTTACTGTGAGCATAAATAGTAGCTTTTCTGTGTTCTCTGCAGCACCACAATATCATAAAGAACTGATCAGAAAGTTTTAGGCGAGTTGCACTGAAATACAAGTAGCTCAAGTTAATGCAGTATAAATAGCACATAGTCCAGGTCTCAGTATGTGCCATGTCATGGTGCTGTAGAAATCTGTGTATGTCTTTATAGCTGTGGCATTGGCGGAACAGAGCTAAATGGTCGTTAGCAACAAATCAATGCAATATGGAAGATTATGGCCCATAAAGAATTATGTTTTATCTCAATCTTTAATTTCCCTGATGTAGAAAGTGTAGCTCCCCATTCCCCTGGCACAGTCTGTCTGGCTCTATTGCCTCCTGTTGGCAGCTATAACAGAAATCATAAGATGATGATGCAGCCTTCAGTCATAGAGAGAGTATAATTACTTACATAATGTGGGTCTTTGAGATAGCCATCTCATCTTTATGTCCTAATTTTTTATTGTCTCTCTATATAATACATGACTTCATTAACTGCACTGCGAAGGCAATATTGTGTGATCCATCTTGGCGGGCAACAGCCTGTCCAGATGGATGGGTGAGATACACTTTCCCAATTTATTGCTCTGTGTTGCCATAGCAGCAGCTACAGGGTTGCTATTCTTTATTTTGTAGAATCTATCACAGGCCCTTGAGGTGCCACAACAATGCCAAGATAAAGCACTGAACAGGAAGCAGGGAACATGAAGTGAAATCAGATCTGTTGGCAGACTCGAAATAGAAATTATACAAAGATTTTGATTTAAAAGTTTTCAATAAGGTTTCAAGGCTATCCAGACAAACGTACCACTGTCTGATTGTCTGCCAGAGAGATGGATTTCTGCTTTCAGTCATTTCTTTGACATTGCTAATTTTAGAGAAGCACACTGAGCATTAAATGTATCTTGGTGCTTTTAGATAATAATCTTAATTGAGAGTTCTGGCTTCCCAGTGTTCTCTGCAGGAAATACAACCCTATTATAAATGAGTAATTATGTCTCTGCACTAATAGCGTTATGTATTTCATTTTCCATATAAAATGACAAATTTAGGGAGTGAGCAATAGAATCCCTGCCATCATACTAGCTTACCTAAAATTGCAGATGAACACTATATATTTAACATTTTGATTTTGAATTTTCCTGCATATGACGCTCGCTTGAAGTTTTTTGTATAATTGCTGCATTTTCTTTGGTCATGGCTAGATGGCCTCCTTGTTGCATCTTTTAAGTTGGTCCTCTCTCCGCGTGGCTTTCTGCTGGTGCTGCCCTCGCTTGTATAGTAGCAAGACAAATTTCTCTTTGTGACTTTTTGTGACTTGTTTCAGGCCACATCTCTTCTTTCTTTTTCTTTTCTATTCTCCCCTTTCTTCTCTTCCTTCTCTGTTTGCGTTTCTCCATTTCTTTACTCCCTATTATCGATTACCCCAACCCCACTTCCTGTACACACGCCATGCCCCCCTCCCGCCCCGACAGACGTATCCGATTACAAGAACAATAACAATAAAGGCCAAGCTGTGAATCAAAGGGATGATCTCTCCACAGTGACCAATGCCATGACGGGGATGAGTCCCTCTCCGTCTATCACAGCCTTGTCCAGCCGCGCCGGATCCATTGCCAGTCTGCATGACCGCATCATGTTCAGCCCAGGCAGCGAAGAGGCCATCGAGAGACTGAAGGTGAACACTGGATAACATACAGTGTAGTTAATCTTTAAACCCACACTCATTGACACATTGACACAGTGTCATTTTACTGCATATATACATATTGGATATTACCAATGCTCATCATGAAGATATACAGATAAAAGCATTTTAACGCTTAACCATTTCAATAGTTAAAGTGTAAGGCTGGTGATGTTCTATGTTTTTGCTGTTGTCAACAAATCTCATGAAAAGACCAAAACTACCAATTTATTAGTGTGTTTCCCACTCATTCCACAGACTGACCCATTTGTTCTTACCAAAGTCATAAATCACATTTTATGGCTGTGTTAGAGAATCGAAAGTAGAAAGATGGAAGGAAGTGAGGGGGTAGAGATGGAGAATAATGCACAACAAACTCAATCTGGAGGCATTGTGGGTCATGCTGTTTCCCCACTTTCATTTTTAAACAAGACTTGATAAATTTATAAAGCAGTTTTTTGAAAATGTTTACTCAAACGGGAGTAAATTGTGCATTTCTTGAAAAGTAGTTTCAGTTGTGGATTTGATGCTGTAGTGAGTATGACAGCAGGACTATACAGTATATGTGGGATTGACTCAAAGTAAACTACAGTGCCCACATTCATCTTAATTAAGGAGCATATGTCAACAGTGTGGCTCACTGGTGTGTTTTAACAGTGTTTGAGCTTTATAGCGCACAGGAATAAGATATATATATATAATAAGGATATAAGATATATCAGGCTTTGGCTACAAAGATATTGTTAGTAGGATCAAGTGATTTGGGGTTTTGGTCTTTTCATTGGAGTCGTTGACAGAAAGAGACAAAAGGTATCCTTGAAACAACTTTTACTTTAATTACCGCTATCTTGTCAAATGTCAGGAAACAGAGAAAATCATTGCTGAACTCAATGAGACTTGGGAAGAGAAACTTCGCAGGACAGAAGCCATTAGAATGGAAAGGTGAGATATAGAATATTAAATTTTAATTTCATTTTAGTAATGAAATCCTTCTTAAAATGTATTTTTTCTTTCATGGGCCCCCCTGATAGTTCAGCTGATAGAGCTGGCGCCCCATGTACCGAGGCTGAGTCCTTGCTGTAGTGGCCATGGGTTCAAATCTGACCTGTGGCCCTTTGCTTCATGTCATCCCCTCTCTCTCTACCCCCTTTCCGTTCTATCTTAAGCTGTCCTATCTAATAAAGAGAAAAAGGCCCCCAATATATATATATATATATATTTATATATATATCTTTTCTCTTGAAAGAGTCCTAGCCAAAAAAGAAAAATGTGTAGAAAAATAAATTGTAAAAAAAGACTGAACACAACAACATGCTTACAACAGAAAATGGTTTAAAAACAAGACACAAGTGATATCAACGGATCCTCTTTTAATGTATCTTAAAGCAGTACATGTGGAAGATTAAAATAGCAGTAGTATATCATGTATTTTAATAGTTTTTCTAGTCTATACAAATATTTATTTTAAAATAAAAAAAAACTCTGGAATTTACAGGTTTAAGGTATAGCATGCATATTCGTCTTGACCCCAGGTTGCAACTACTAATAGAAAATAGAAACCATTGTTTTGCATTTGTGCTAACCCCCCCCACCCAAAACTATCTCATATAAACTATATTAATAAATGAGGCATCTTGACATAAAGACAAATCATGTAGCCGCTTGGTATACTGAGTCTGACATCCATCCACAGAGAGGCTTTGCTGGCAGAAATGGGTGTAGCAATGCGAGAAGATGGTGGGACAGTTGGCGTGTTCTCTCCTAAGAAGGTAAGAAGATATAAGACATCTCCAAAAGTCTGTGATAAAAAAAAGTGATCTAATTCTTGACATTGAAATTATTAACTTAAATGCTTGTTTATTTACCCCAAAGCCCTCCGATAGCCCTAGAATGCCCCAGGCTGTGTTTATCGACACAGTCGGGCTGTTTTCCCCCAACGAGGTTTGTAGCTGTGAAGTGTTTAAAGCTGTTTGAGTGCTCTGAGTCTCACTTCAACAGAAGTCTTGCCAAGGCAGATCAGTCGAGAGCTTTTTTCTTTTCATAAGTGTTATCTAAAATCTACTTCATTACTCACTTCAAACACACCCTGAAGGCAGAAATTGGTGTAAACATGGGGGAAAAGATAATGGTGGTGCCCCCATTTCAGTGATTTATGGCCTGCAGCCCCATAACATCTGACTGAGACTACATTAAACAATCATGCTGTGAAGCTACGGGGAGTGAATTTGACTGCATGGTTTTAACTATTGCTGATTATTTGGTGTTTGTAACGGGGGGAGCTTGTTTTTGAGCTCTCTGATGTGCAGTGTGTGCATAATTTATATTATAAATAACATATGGGCAATGAATGATTTCTGTAAATTGCTCTCCTAATTTGAACAGTTAATAAATGATTCCTTGTTCTGTGTCAGACACCTCATCTAGTGAACCTCAACGAGGATCCTCTGATGTCTGAGTGCCTGCTGTACTATATTAAAGACGGGATCACCAGGTAAGATATTGTCAGTCCCTTTATGATCTATTATTAAGGTAATATGGTAGAGTGGAGGGATTATCTTCCTTTCCTAAAGTACAGATTTCATTTAGGTGCTAAATGCATGCATTATTTAAATGTTTTTCTCTTTTTTAGGGTAGGACGCGTAGACGCCAGCAGTCGTCAGGATATAGTCCTCAGCGGCCACTTCATCAAGGATGAGCACTGCACCTTTACCAGTTCCACTGGTCCAATGGGAGAAAGTGGGTGATCTTTATCTTACTCCACAGGCTTGTACTGTGTACACCAGAGTTTAATATTGGCATGGTCTCATATTGCCTTCTCTGTTCTTTATCAGCAGTTGTCCTGGAGCCCTGTGAAGGAGCTGAGACATATGTCAATGGCAAAAGAGTGACGGAGCCCACGGTCCTCAAATCGGGTCAGTAAACTCTCTTGCTTTCGTGAATTTTACCTTTCCTTATACATAGTTGCAACACGTATGTGTATGTGTAACACATTTAGATGTTTTTTATCCCGTAAAGGAAATCGCATCATCTTGGGGAAGAGCCATGTGTTCCGGTTCAACCACCCTGTGCAGGCCAGAGCTGAGAGGGAGAGGACCCCATGTGCCGAAACCCCTGTTGAGCCTGTGGACTGGGCCTTCGCCCAGAGGGAGCTGCTCGAGAAGCAGGGCATTGACATGAAACAGGAAATGGAACAGAGGTACTTTGGGGAAATATTGAGCCATTCAACTTGAACTTTTCAAGAAAGCCTGTGTAGGAAGCAGATTGGGTCTCATCACCATATTGTAGACATGAACAACAGATAAGGAAGCTACAGCCAGTAGGAAAGAAGTGTAACACTTATTGTAATATTAATAACTGCCACATTATACGAGCCTGCAGCACAGTGTGCAGTAAATGGCGTGCTGCTCCAGAAACTTTGCGACCCTGGTGCAAAAGCCAGAGTAGTGTTTCCTTTGAGGTGGTACATGACATCTCTTACACCTGTTTTGTTCACTTGTGTCTTCAGGCTGCAGGAGTTGGAGGACCAGTATCGCAAAGAAAGAGAGGAGGCCAATAACCTTCTGGAGCAGCAAAGACTGGTACGTTAATTAACAGCTTTATGTGCTGTTGACATTAATCATTGAAGCTGAAGGAAATTAGATCTAATTAAAATTGTGGTATTTTATATCTATATCTTTTTGGGGGGGAGTGAAGCCTGGCCCGTGTGGTCTGATTCAACAGAGCTCAAACTGCTTAAATGGTTAATGCTGGTTCTGATAGAAAGCTGTCAGAACACACAGTGCATCACAGTTTGTTGGTATGGGACTGTGTAACATTATGACCCCCAGGGTGCCCAGGTGGTCATGATGTTATGGCTGATCAGTGTATGTACTGTATTTAAGTAGTCAAAATTACAAAAACATCAAAGTTATTTTACACTAAGTACCTCTCATGCAATGAATATAAGCTACAAGATATTTTTCCATGCTATACATAAAATAAGTAGTATTTTTTTAATGAGCTTTGGTCCTCCATTTCAACAGTTATGTCAATCGATGGGACAGTTTACTCACTGACATCTGTTCCTAAATAGCTTGTTAATGTATTAAGACCACATGTGTTTAACATTGGTCTTCATTAATCAATTGTCCAGGATTATGAGAGCAAGCTGGAGGCTCTTCAGAAGCAAGTGGACCGTTACTACCCAGAAGCCCCTGAAGAAGAGGAAGAGCCAGAGGAGGAAGGTAGTGCAAATTATTGGAAAACGTATACATATCTATGTTAGTGGTAGGCAAGTCCTCACCAAATGATGATGTTTTATCATTTTTGCCCACAGTGCAATGGACAGAGAGAGAAAGAGAGATGGCTGTGTGGAGCTTTCGTAAGTGGCGCTGCTACCAGTTCACCTCTCTCCGTGACCTGTTATGGGGGAATGCCATCTTCCTAAAGGAGGCCAATGCCATCAGTGTGGAACTGAAAAAGAAGGTCCAACATGTTGTTGTCATTTAAACTCCATCACATCCACAGATTGATCACAGATTTATGTTATAATATGGCTCTCTGACAGTACCCATGCTTTTTGTTCCCCTGCAGGTTCAGTTCCAGTTTGTGCTGCTCACAGACACTCTCTACTCCCCCCTGCCTCCAGACCTTTTGCCCCCAGAGGCGAGTAAGGACAGAGAGATGCGACACTTCCCACGCACCATTGTGGCTGTGGAGGTGCAGGATCAGAAAAATGGAGCCACCCACTACTGGACATTGGAAAAACTAAGGTACACAACATGCACTGAGGCCAATAATATAATTCTTGTTTTTTTTAACTAGAAACAGCAGAAACAAACAAGTTTATAGTGTCTCTGTGAGGGATAGATTTCACAAAGAGCACAGTATTCACTGTAAGAACATTTCTCATTAACTCCATGCTGTGCTTGTTTTTAATGCAAGGACTTAATGTGTCAATTGTTGCTGATTCTTGCAGGCAGAGGCTGGATCTCATGAGAGAGATGTATGATCGCGCTGCTGATGTGCCCAACAATACCACTGAAGACTGTGAAAATGTGATGACTGGAGGGGACCCCTTTTATGATCGCTTCCCCTGGTTCCGTCTGGTTGGCAGGTAAATGCACAGTTGGCCCTGTACAGTATGTGGACAGGACAGAAAGGCATTCATACTGAACTCACACAAAGGTCAACAGCAGTGAGCAAACAGAAGCCCAGTGTTAGTCATACTTGTCCATTCAGTATAATGGGCGGCTGTTGGCCATATTGCCACATATTGTGCATGTGGTCAACTAATGGAACCATAATGATGGAGACACCAGCATGAATTAGTCTGCAGCCCACTTCATTATGGTATTCCCAGTATTCTCTGAGTGCAGCACTATCAGCAACCCTCTCCATTTCAACTTATATAAAAATATGTATTTATATGAAGGACTTACATGGCATCATTTATCAAAGAACGTGATCACAAATTTGCATTAATTTACCTTTTGAATGTATTACTTGAGCATATTTTATTCACGATAGACCTGTGCCATATGTTCTCATAACTGACAGGTTTTAACTTAGTATACTGCCAATTTCCAACTTTATTTTCTTTCTATGTGCTTTATTACTGACTGAAGTCCCTCTGTGACTATTTTTCTCCCCAACATGGGCTTGCAGCTTTAACACAAAAGATGGATCTGACAACCAATGGAAATGATCAGTACATGCTAGTTGATGCCAGCCTCGTCTTTTTTAATGGGAAAAATCAGCTTTGGAACATTTGAGATTGACATTTCTTCAGTCCTCCTACTCTAAGCCTGCTGTTTCTTTCTCTCCCACTTTGGCACACAGCCTCCCAATCTCTTTGCCAAGCTCTCTCTCTCTTGCAGATGGGTCCTACACACAGTCACATGGCCCTGTTACATAATATTCAGCCTTTAATGTCATTTAGCTCCTGCAAGAAGAGCAAAAATGATCAGGCAGTAATCTGGAAAATGTCCCCTTGAAATATGTTTGTCAGCTCATTTAGATTTTCTATTCACACAATAGGTGAGTAATACAGGCTTATGTGGCCAAAAGCACCACATCTAATGAAATCTAGTTCTCCAGACAAATTATGTACCAGCAATCAACTGAAGTTGGATGTAGCAGTTTTATTTGGAGTGTGTATTTGTACTATGTACTAGGCATTTGTGTTAAGTGTTAAAACGAGTGTTGCTAACACTGGCTTAACACTAGTACTGTAGTTGCTGTTGAAAATCTCCAGGGAGTCACTTGCAAATGTCCACAGAAAATTGTATTTAATTAGTCTTTTATAACATCTTAGTTATGTAAGATAGTTTGTAAATAATTATGTAGAATACGATACGACTTCATTGATCCAGCAGCACAGAGACAGGTTAAGAAGTGAGAAAACAGATACAGAACTATTTGAATGAAATAAATTGAAATAAAAAAGGAAAATCTTTCGTAAAATTAGAGAGGTGTAAGAAAAAGTCATGATGTATGTATTACGTATAATATGTATAGTATATGTATAAATATGAATAATAAAAACCAATATACATTAAAATATATTGGAGTATATAGTAGTATATATTACAGATAGGTCATATTCATACATGGGTTTGAATAGTTACATGAACAGATAAAGATCATACAACCTTTGTCTGACCGTGTCTGACTCCTGTGATACCTAGAAGTGACTATCTTCTTTGGAAGCAAATCTTTTGTTCTACAGGGTGTCAATCATCATCTCCATGGTCTGGCACACTTGAGATCTGTACATGCACTCTCAGCAAAGGAGGTTAAATACTTCTAACAACCTTTGTTGCTTGTCTCGCACTCTCCAATCTTTCCTTTGTGGCTCCACCGTACATGTATGCTGTCCACTAACACAGACAGTAAAAGCAGATTTCGGTGGAGGCAGGTTTTCTCCTGTGGTCCAGTCCATATGGTGGTCTACCGCCCCTCTTTTCTGAAGTGTTTGCTTTCTATCTTAACTGTACTAACCTAGTTCCCATGTCTCTGGCTGCACCAGAAACCCCATTTTCAACACATGCATGAGCGAGCGCATGAGTGACCCAACCCCATCCCCGACCCTCTCCACCTCTGAAATTACTGAGTTGGCTGACCCGCAGCGGGAGGGTCGAGGGGAGGAGGAGGAGTTGGAGGAGTTGGAGGACCTGGACGATGATATCTTTTTGGACGACCCGTGCTTGGAGCTCGGGGGAGAGGATGATGATGATGATGATGATGATGATGATGATGATGAGGATGATGATGAGGGAGAGCTCTGCCGAGGCTCCAGCGAAGGCCAGGATCCCTTTTACGACCGCTCACCATTATTCAGTGTAGTGGGAAGGTTGGTGAGGTTTCAGGAGCATGCTGGTGGAGGAAACTAGCTCTTTCACACTGAGACGCAGGGTCTGTTTCCCTCAGTAGACATCAGCACAGATGACTTTTTTGAAAACACAATATTGACAAAATCCCCACTCTGTTGTGGACTGGGAGTGCATGAGAAATATAAACCTGAAATCAAAATTTCTGCAGCACGTGAGTCTTTTTTTTATTTATGTGGCAACCACACCTCTTCTGTCCAAATTAGTGTGCTACATTTTCCATTGAACTCTCCAGTTGGGACAAGTAAGCCATAGTTGTAATATCAACATAGAGTTGGGGTATTTCAGTTGGATAGCTTCAGTGTATGGTTGAAAACCAACTTTACCTATACTTTTTTTGATCATGGGAATTTCATTCATTCCATCTTCTTAAACACTTCCTGCTTGCTTAGTACATGTCAAACTAGCCACTTCAGTTTCTATTCCCTGTCTCAGTTGTCACTGTCACTGTCTCATGTTTGAGACACAAATGTTCTCAGTTGTCAAACCACTACACACATTTCTCTCATGAACATGATACTGAGTGGACACTGGAGTAGACATTTCTGGGCTTCGAGGTTTATCTTTTGCTTTCTATCTTTAATCTCATCCAATTTGACTGTTGCTTGATTTTCTTTGGGTTTTTTTGCTAGCTGTTTTTTTCACTCTAACTTAGACTAAATGCTTCTCCTGCATATTACAATTCTATTTCTAAAACAAGTCCTTTATGTCAGCCCAGGGTGGGTCAGTTCATACCCCTTGTTTCCATGGAAATCCAAGCAAAGTTGATGCTCAACGGCTGCTTGAGGTGTGTGTCTCACTTTTGTGTGGCTAAATGCAAACTTGCAGCTATTAAAGAAGTTCATTCACTAGCCAAAGCACTGACATGTCTCATGGAGTATATTCAGGTCTGATTTGCATAACACTGGAACCCACAGTAAAATGTTCTCACCATGCTGTGAAACCTGAATAGGTACGAAAGAGTCTGGAAATTATTTCGATGAAGTAGAAAAGTGGTGTTAAGGAAGACTCAAAATCTCAAGATGAAAGAGCTGGTTTCTACCGCAGCTGTCTCTTTTAGGCATGCCAGAGCACAAGTCTTTTTATTTTGACCTTTTTTGTCAATTTTTACTTGAGTACGTCTGATGATGAACTAGTGCCCCTCCTTTGCACAAATTATCACTTCGACCCAGGAGGTGCACTTTGATTTCTGATGTCATTCGTTGGTTTTTGGTGTAGCACACAATATATCAAGCTGCTGGCAGTTTTTTTATTCAAGCTGAGCCATGTTCCGTATGATGATTTCTGTTCCATTTGCTTTTGGTTCCTTTGAGTCGAGAAGTTGAAAGCATTTTTGTTCACCCTTTTTTGTCCTGAGCATGCCTTCTTTGCACCTCACCAATCTTGTCATAATCCTCTCCCTTTTGACACTCTCCACCCTTAAATGTCTACCCCTATTGGCCCGTGGAAAACGTGGTCCTTGACTGCAAGACCAAGAACTGTAGCTAAAAACTAGAAAATGAGAAACCAAGAAAGAGAAACATTTCTAGTGCAGTTATGCCCACATTTATACTCTCAAAAGTTAGTCTTTGTCACTACCCCTGAAGTATTTTCAAATCTGATGCAAAGTGCCTCAAGCGCTCATTTTGGGTCTGTACATTTGATATGCAGTGTAGTGTTTTCATATTGAGGCACATTCACGATGCACATGTATATAATATATGATCATTAAGCAATGTAAAGAAACTTAATTTCAGGAATGAAATCATATGGAAAACAGCTGCTGTCCAGCTTAGTAGTGAGCTGGTTTCCAGTAAAATTCAAATTCAGAATTCAGAGTTGACCCTTACACACATGCTCCCTAGCCTCACCAAGCTCTCACCAGTACAAAACAAAAGTTAACTGCATGTGACCCATATTTGTCCTGATAATATCATTGATTATAGATGTTGAGAAAAAGCCCCTACAAAGCGATAGTAAAGGGCAGCCATGGCCATCGCAAGAGCAGTCCCAGCTTCTGTTTGGTTGCTTTGCAGCTCTGTGTTCTGTTGTCCAGTCCAGTGATATTTTATCAAGTGTGAGCCATCTCCTGAGCTCTGTTGTTTTTAATCTGTTATGATTTCTCTCTTTCTGCCCCTTATTCAGGGCTTTTGTTTATTTGAGTAACCTGCTGTACCCGGTTCCTCTTGTCCACCGCGTGGCCATCGTCAGCGAGAAAGGAGAAGTGAAGGGCTTCCTTCGTGTGGCAGTGCAGGCCATATCAGGTAAGGATCGCACACTCAGCCTGAGCCAAAGGGCATGAAGGGATTGAAAAGGACATGCTGTGTGAGACTTCTTGAGGGAGTGAAGTGAAGGTGCTTTGTGTTTCCCTCCAGCTGATGAGGAAGCTCCCGACTACGGCTCAGGAGTGAGGCAGTCAGGCACTGCCAAAATCTCATTTGAGGACCAGCAGTACGAAAAGGTAGAGAAAATCACTATAGTGCACAGAGAAATCATCTGTATATGGCAACCTGCTAACCAGTGTCTTTTGCACCTTCTTTTGCAGTTCCAGTCCGAGTCCTGCTCTGTAGGACTGTCCCGTTCAGGGATTTCCCAGGAGGAGCTTCGTATAGTGGAAGGGGAGGGGCAGAATGCAGAAATGGTACCCTCAGCTGATGAGGTCAACAACAACACATGTGCGGGTAATCGTATTTTATGAGTGAATGGATACATGTTTTGTGTGTATGGGTGTGTGAGTGTCGCACTCGGTCCAACGGTGGCGTAAATCTGGCACACCTTGCTTTCTGTGCAAGCTGTAACCTGGGTCTGATTTTAATTTTGCGTTCCTCACAGCTGGTGCAGATGAGCTGGAGAATCCGCTGAAGGCCAGTTTGGACGGCCCACTTGACACAACACTGGAGCACCTGAAGATTGGTAACGTCTTTACCTTCAGGGTGACTGTCCTGCAAGCCTCCAGCATCTCTGCAGAATATGCTGACATCTTCTGCCAGTTCAAGTAAGCAGTCCATCAAAATGTTTTTACTGTACATGTTCAAACCCATGGCTCTCAATCTTTATCATGTTCCTTTTACAGTTTTACAAGTAAATAGTTGTTTTGCAATTTGGATTGATTTCAGTTTCATCCACCGCCATGATGAGGCCTTTTCCACTGAACCCCTAAAAAACACAGGCCGTGGCCCTCCTCTTGGCTTCTACCATGTGCAGAATGTAAGAAATATCAGCCAGATCCTGTACGATGATGATCAGTTGTAGAAGGTTTTAATGTCAAATGCTTTAATATTACTGTATTGTTTTTATAGATTGCTGTTGAAGTTACTAAATCCTTTGTTGACTACATCAAGACTCAGCCAATTGTGTTTGAGGTGTTTGGACACTACCAGAAACAACCTTTTCTTCCTCTCTGTAAAGACGTCATCAGGTACCTGGCTACAAAGTTTGCTGATATAACTGATTTACTGCACAGACAAAGATATACTGTATATTGTTGTTTTCGTTAAATGACACATGGTGTGTTGTCTTTTTATCAACCAGTCCACTACGCCCCTGCAGAAGACAGTTCCCACGAGTGATGCCTCTGTCCAAACCAGGTAAACACACTGTTTGCGGAGTTACTTTGCTTGATTCCACCATTTATTTATGTTGCATTGTCTTTGTATTGGTATCCCTGCAAGTCATGTCATCTTAGCTTCATGTTGTTGGGTGTGAGCAGTTGACTCTGACGCCTCGCCGGAACGGGAGAAATCGCTGGAGCTGATCCGATACCTGGTCCCAGACGTGTTCAATGGGGTGCTGGTGGACTCGTTGTCAGACCACGCTCTGTCTGCCGCTGGCTTGGCTGCTTCCTTCCTACTGGAAGGAAACGAGCGAGCTCAGCTGACAGCTCCACCCACCTCTATCTGTTCAGTTATTAAAGCTCAGAAGCCGGGTTGGTTGTTGATGTCAGATCCAAGAGAATCCTGTGACTGAATGCCTTTTTATATCAAGTGTGTATATTGGTGAGATTTAAAAAACACTCAAAGCCCAGTGACTTAGGCCGTATCACATTAATTTATTTACTACTATAGTTTATATTAAGAGTTACTACTGGACACTGACTAGAAGACGCTGTAATAGTTTTTAAAATGAAACTATTTGATATAAAAGGGAGTTTTCTTGTGTCAGGATTCAGTTGGATTAGCTCTCTGGTGTACTGTGTGTTCACTGTCGACCTGCGTGGTGGATTCTCCTTGCAGTTCCCTCTTTGAGCTCTTCTTGAATGGGATGGGACGGCAATGTTAACTATACTGTACATTATACTGTATATTTATATATTACACAGATTAAATAAGACTTTATTGATCCCCAGAAGGGAAATTCACATTGCAGCAGTGCAAGAAAAACACTCAAAAGAGGTTGCAAACAGCTGGTGAACTATTTGAAATAAGACATATAACAAAATAGCAGTAAGGGAAATTATATTTGAAGGCAATAATGATTGATAAACAACATTATATAGGCAGTATATAACACATTATATAAAATACTGCATGTTGTACTATTCCTGCTTGGGCTTGGGCCAAACTTCAAAGCTGCATGTGCACGTTTTTATGCACACTCTCTCTTAACTCTGAACTCCTTTTGGGGAACTACCTTAAATTGAAGGAATTAACCCTTACTCGTAGCTATACAAAACAATCAAGATCAGCATTGTAGTATTAAAGGAGAATGCTGTTCAAGGAGTTCGTGCATATGCTTTTCCTCATGCACAGGATGGTTCAGTATTCATTTGTTACTAGAAAAGTTGTCTTGCAAATGAGAACCCACAGACCCAGAACTATGAAATGTTTATGATTACGTGAAATCTCAAATCACATAAGAACACAAACATTTTTCTAATAAGATTTAGTGATGTTCTCCTTTAAGCAAGGACTGCAGAGTTGCTTATAAATCTGTTGAAAGAAAAGAGCTCCTTCTACAGGACTGAGTGGTTCCTCTCTTTCCCTGCACCACTGATTTCCTTTCTTCTTTCCCTTTCTCTCTCCTTTGTAGGTTTAGAGCAGCTCCCTGCTGTTAGCAACTATTCTACTCTCTGTCTTCCCTCGCCCTGTCTTACACTCTCTATCTCCCTTTCCAACACAGTACCTGCCACCAAGCTGACAGCCATGACCCGCCCGCAGGCAGGACCCTGCCACAGCAAATATGATCTCATGGTATTCTTTGAGATCTGCGAGCTAGAGGCCAATGGAGAGTGAGTGTCCTGTGTCACCCCTCACCAAACATCCAGTGCTGGATCTTTAATCTGCTGATGTTTGGAATTATTTAGCAAATTTTCCATGAAGTGATATTAAGGAATAATGCACATGACCAAATGAGTGAAGCTTGTTTTCATCTATGTCTTTCCAGCTACATCCCTGCAGTGGTGGACCACAGAGGGGGAATGCCTTGCCATGGCACATTTCTACTGCACCAGGTATGTCAATCCCACTGTGAGCAAATCTGGAATATTTTAATGGTACTGAACATAACCACACCTCTTTTTATTTCTTTCCTTTTCTTCATAACGACAGGGCCTTCAGAGGAGAATCACTGTGACCATTGTACATGAGTCAGGAGGTGATATGGAATGGAAGGAAATACGTGAGCTTGTTGTGGGTAAGTTTGTTTTTTAGCCAAACATTGTACCAACAGTGGTCTTACCTTGTGTGGGAGCTGTTCTAACCGAGGCACCTGTGTCTTTCTAGGACGCCTACGCAGCACTCCTGAAGCTGATGAGACCATCATTGACCCCAATATTCTCTCTCTCAACATCTTGTCTGCTGGGTATGTCAGGCCCATGCAAGATGACCGGTATGTACTATCCTTTTGATGGAAACGCATTACTTTACAACAGCCAGAGCCTTGCGAATGAAGCACAATACTGGTCCAGGCCATCTTTAATAGATTTTATCAGATTTTGAATCTATATGGTATGGTATGAATTCAATATTAGAAACGTCTAGTTTGCATATATGTTTGTTTAACCTAAGGTTGTGACAGCTTTGCTGAATTTGGAAACCACTCTATGGTTCTCACTTTTATGTGAACTTGTCACTTTATTACTGCTGTGGCAGCTCTTGCACTGAAACGTGGCACATGGGCAAATGCATGGCATAGAGTACCAGCTATACATGTCAAAAAGAAAGCATGGCAGAAGAGGCACAACTTGAATGTTTTAACAAACCCTAAAAAAGTTATTTTGTGTTATTATCTTTATTATTATGTCTGCACAAGTATGCTGTCCTCTTTTTAATTGCAGGAGGCCACACACAAAAATCCAGAGTGACCATGAGCAAAGTGAATCAAAATCACACTTTACCATGATTTAAGAGTAACTAAATTTGCCACATTTGTAGAATTGAATTCACTTGTCCATGCTGGCTGTGCGACCCTCCTTGTTAAACTGTGCTTTTTGTTGTTTGATGGTCGTCATTGCACCATACGTGTTGCATCTCACCTTGTTTATCACCTCACCTCTAACTTGTCTCATTTTTCCACCATAAGTAGCTCTACTAACCCCAACACTAACCTGCTTATAGACTTAAGGAATCACTCATTTTTACCAAGCAACCTCATTTGACTGTATTTCACTGGTGAATGAAGTTTTCTATTAAATTAACAATACAAATGCATGTCTTTCTAAATTATTCAGCAGTATGTATCACTGCAAGTAGTGTAAAATCACTAACACACCTTAAACTATCTGTACTTGGACTTAGTATGATGTCATACATTGGACATTTGATTTCATCATCACTTTATTGAATCCCTTTATTAACTCTTGATATTCAAGAATCACAAACTACAGATAAAAATGTAGAAAGTCACTCAAAGTTAATCATGCACTGAACGTTGTCTAATTGGAAGCCTTGAAAATGTTGTTTATGGGTGTGTTGTATGATTAAAGCCTAGTCTGTTGAATATCAGGGAGAAGGTGCTGCCTGAATGAAACTCACAACCAAAGGGAACAACAACCCAACAGACCAATGTGATTGCTAACATACTGAAATTCACAAAGGTTTTTGTCACGTCATAAAATTCACCATCGGACAAAAGAGATTTGGTAGCTCTTTGTGACTATGACATCTTATAGGAAAATAAACATTTTACTGGGGTTTGCACAAACAAGATGGGCCTTGGTCCTAAGTACTTAAATTGTGTTGTGTAATGTTTTATGTTGTTCTGCGACCAGCCAGTGGAGGGCAGTATGTTTCTCCTGACTCCTGGCCCCCATTATGAAAGTTGTGTTTTGGCAACTGCTGCTATGTCTTAGGTAACATGTATTTAAGAAATCCAGTAATTACTGGCATAGAAACACTAAATATTATTCAGTGGTTTGTCTTTTAACATCCAAATTCACTCACCATTAATGCCACCACTGTATGATGGCTCAATAACTCTATCAGAAAGTATGTCTTCACAGTATATTTACAATGTATTATATGGATAAATATCAGTGTAGATTTGGCCAAAATTATTACATCATCCAAATGAAATTTATGAAAACTATAAAGTACTTTTTTAGCATTTACTTTATAATTTTTGTGACCCTCATTGCTTAATCGCTCTGCTTTCCCAACCACTCTCCAAAAAGCCTAACAATACCAGCAACACCATCACCCAGACCTGGGTTTACTGAGTTTAAATAAAGCAACCAAACGCTCCGTGCAGCACTGTCCAGTGGCCCTCCTCGACCGGCCTTCCTTTGACCATGGTGCTGCACCCCCGTGGTTTTCAGCCCTCAATGTTTGTCCTGTTATGGCCTCAATGGCCAATAATTGGGTTTAGTGGTTCGGCACCAGGTCAGGCTGTGGTCCAGTGTGGTCTCTGCTCAGTCTTGCAGAGACTAACATCAAAGTATATATGGATGCTAACATTTTTTTCCCTCCAGTCCACTAACGGAATGTTGTTTTTTGCTTTTGCAGACAGTTTCTTGATTCGGACATGCCTAGGTATATTATTTTGCCTCTCTTCTCATGCTCTTAAGTTACAAAAACACATCTTTCATCTCTCTAACGTCCTCTACACCCTATTCATTCCTACTCGACCTCCAGTGATTTCGTTCCCCTCTCTTCTACTCTGCCATTACTGTCAGCAAATCATCTGTGCATCTTTGTTTTCTCCCCCTTGTGAGAAGTGAGGGATGTGACTCTGCATGTCCCCGGTTCTCTTGCTGCGCTGGGTGTGTGTTTGAGCTGTTATCAGGCTGTGATTTATGATGGACAGGGTCTGCATGGCTCGCTTTGCTTCACGTGGACTGTCCTTTGACTGTGTCTCTGCCGGAGGTGTCGTGGGGCCAGTATCACACTCTCTGCTTCCACTTCAGCAGTTGCTGCAGGAACTTAGACTATATACTTTTAAGGCTGATATAGGTCTGTCAGCATTTGGTCACTCTAGCATTTTGGACAGAAACAGAGAATTTTAACATGTTGCTGACATTTTGAAAAAGTACCTTTTTACTCTATTGTACTCCAGCTTGTTCACAGATGCTAATTTATATGCATATTGAATTTAAAAGGCAGCAAGTTCACATCCAACATGATTGTACTCCTAAGGATTAACAGTGGTCTAACTGAAAGATTTCAGTATAATTGCTTGCCAGTAGAGGGTGGTAGTGATTCATTATTACAACACAGTTCAGTTGAAACAACAAAGGCAAGAATATTCAAAAAATGCTGAAAAACATTTTTAGTGTCATTTTCGGCTTTCCTCTCTTCACTCCGTTTAATAATTTTATATTGTTGACCTTTTAACGAAGAAATATTTTACATCCATATGTTTTTGTTAGTTACTTCTAATCCCAAGAGACAGAGTATTTCCCATCACAGCTACAGAATATTAACAGGAACACTATTACTCAAGTGCTGTAATATGGATCACATCATTTACAGTACCCACTCTGGCACAGGATTCAAATGCAGCTATTAAAATGTAATCCAGTGAACCATTACCTCACCAGTAGCACTTTGCCCAAAATTGCTGCAATGTTGTGAATATTTTTAAATCTTGCTTGTACCTCAGTGAAACTCTGCCAAACACCAGAAACAAACGGCTCCTCACATGTTACGCCAGCAGCATGACTTCAATCCTGGCTCCTTCATTTTTAGGAGGTAGTAAAACACAGAGAAGCACATGTTAGTGTAGTACAAAGAGGAAATTGCTCCCTTGTAGTGTAAGCGAACAGTTTTCTACTACTGAGAAAGAAGTGTGATGTGTGAGTGTGTGTGTTAATGCACTCGCTAATTACTTAAAAAAGCAGGCCATCTCTACGCTGAATCCCCTTTATTCACACAGAGCAGCAGTGAGTTCTTTTTACTGCAGGCAACTCAGTCCATTGCTGTTTGCTTTCTTTTGGGTGACACATTGTTCACTTTCCCACAAGGTCACCTCAGTCCAAGGCCAGTGGGCCCAACATCTGAACCTCATGAAGAGTCCATACAGCCTGTTTTTATGGCTTACAGAAACATTAGTCTCCTTTTACAATTCTTGCTTGGATTATCTTTTTTAAATTTAAGGCCGTACCGGGACGCAGGCCAGAAGAATAACTGGTTTCAGTGTATGATTATTTCCCCCCGGGGGAAATGGGAAAAATCGTGTACATTAACGTATGGAGTAAATCAGAGGCGTAACAGAAAGCAGTATTGTTTTGCTTGAGGAATGGCCATGTGCTGTTATTTGACCTTTTTAATGGTAGAACAGGATGAGAGATTGCATCAAGTCGATCAGCACCTTCCACAGGATTTCTCAACGGCCTCCTATGGGTGAGCTGTATGATCCATGGCAGTGTTTACATAATGAGATAACAGTGTGAAAAAAGACAAACACCATCCCAGCCACACAAGCGCACAACCACAACATACTTCCTGACTCTCACTTTCTATTCTTTTGCTGATTTCTTCTTTCTCACAGCATTTCCTTGGGACTTGACCATAGGTATTTCACTGCCCTGTCCCTCATTTCGTCTGGCTGTCTCTCATCCCTCCTTCCTTTTTCTGTACTGATAGTCATCTCAGCTCTCTTTGATTTTCTGTGGTGTTAAACAGATCATCAACTCCGCCAGCCTGTTGCATGCAAAAAGATTTCATTAGCATTTCTGTTGAACTGAAGATTTAAGGAATACTTACTACAGTATTTAAATACTGTACAATGCCAATAGTAGATAGATTATGACAGTTGTTTTTTTTGTTTGTTTTTTACAAATCATATTATTATTTTCTCAGTGTACCAAATCAAAATTTAGTCTACATCTTTCTGTAAGTGATGTATTTTTAATTATTATTGTTTGGATTTGGATCCTGATTTGTATGTTAACATGAGTTGTTAGGTTGATAGACTTTAGCATGAGTTTAGTTCTGACTGCTAATTTGTTGTTCAGGTAGACTTACATTTTGAAAGCTGATTCATTTTCTTGGTTTCTTCTCGCTCGGATCACCTCAGGACCTTCTACCGCTTCGAGGCAGCATGGGATAGCTCCATGCACAACTCCCTGTTACTAAACCGAGTCACTCCATATGGGGAGAAGATCTACATGACCCTCTCTGCCTACTTGGAGGTACATTACAGTGCCTGCATTCATGAGAGGCAGAAATAGCTCTCACGATATTAGAGGTGATGTGTGAATTACTCTAGAGGATCACTGTTGGAAATCGCTCCTCTTTTATCAATTGCAGATGGAGAACTGCACCCAGCCCGCAGTCATAACCAAAGATATCTGCATGGTGTTTTACTCTCGAGACACAAAGCTCTCAGCCTCCCGCTCTATCCGAAACCTTTTTGGTACTGGAAGCCTGAGAGCCGCGGATGGGTGAGTTCCAACCTTAAAAAAAAAAGAAAAAAATCATGAAGCTCCTGTGTTCTCTCTGTTGAAGAGCTTGATTTTTTTTTTGTTTGTTTGTTTTTTTCCCAGAAACCGTGTAACTGGAGTTTATGAGGTCAGCTTGTGTAACCTGGCAGATGCAGGAAGCCCAGGTGAGAGTCAAGAAAAAGTTAGTATTTTGCACAAAGCTAACCTATGCAACATTTCTAATCCTGCACCTGCCCACCACAGGTATGCAGAGGAGACGCAGGCGGGTGCTGGACACCTCAGTGGCCTACGTCCGTGGGGAGGAGAACCTTGCTGGGTGGAGGCCGCGTAGTGACAGCCTAATTCTGGATCACCAGTGGGAGCTGGAGAAACTCAGTCTCCTTCAAGATGTGAGGGGCATTAGTTACTTTTCTTTATAGTGTAAGCTACTTTTATTAACCCCTGAAGACAGATGCTACTGGTCGTCAGTTATTGAACCTACATGTACAAAAACATGTGCCTCTAAATCATCTATTTAATGTAAACAGTAACATTTGACATTTGTAAAGATGGATTGGTTTACATATAATTTACTGTACATATGAAATGCACTTTAAACAGGGCTTTTCAACAAAAAGCAATAAGCCTTCCTCATAAATAAACAGTATGCTTAGACACAATTTATTCAAGTTAAGTAATTAGGATTTAGATTAATATAAATAAAATGTCAATAAAAGCTAACAACCTAATTTAAAAGAACACAACATAAAAAGGTTATTAAAGGAAAGCTCTTAAGTGTAAAAGCCTTTTGTATGATCATATTCACAACATATAAGTCAGAAGTTGTTATCATGCCACAGAATTTTTAACTAACTGTAACTGTGCTATACACTTCACGTTGCCATGTTTCTTAATTCAAATAACAGGACCGAATAACTCACCAGTGCTCAACTGGGAATATACAATTACCACAAGTTTTCTTGAACTCAACTTTGAGTAAGAAGTGCTGATGTAAAATTTCAAGACAAGAGCTTCAGTTTTGTTGTGATTTAACTGCAGAAAACTGAGACATCCAGGCACTGATCTTCTAAAAACATTTATGTAATGTAGCTATGTAAAGTTTCCCTGGTTTCACAAATACATAAAAACAATACAAATAAGTTAGAATGAAAAAAATTGGAAGAAAACCAGTCGAGAGCTATACAGTACCAATTATTCCAAACCACTTCCTCAGACTACCTAATCAAACATTATGATTTATGATAGCGAAAGCAGCGCAGAGAACCATCTTAGCCAGCCAGGAATTTGTCAAATAAATGGTCCCTTAAGTCTTTTTCATATTCTCTCAGGTGGAGAAGACCAAACATTACCTCCTGCTGAGGGAGAAACTGGAGTCTACTCTGCTAATGGGCCAGGAGTCCCTGCTGTCCTGTGTCACTGAGGAGCTCAGTGAGTCTCCTCAGCCCCCTGAACCCGACCAGGAGGTCAGCTCCTGCTCTGAAATCACCACTGAGAGGCAGAGGGAACTCGCTGCCAAGGTCAGTCATCATTATTTAGTGAATACTGAATTTCCGCTTTGACTTACAGACCAACTTGCTGGTTGACAATCTTGGTGAACCAATCACAGCATGCCATCACAACAAAATTATGTAGAAACTAGATAGAGAAAAAATACATCATATAAACACTACAGTAACATCTGGAGTCGCTATGTTAAGTTATATGTCCACCTCGAAAAAGACAAATTGTTAAGTTTAACATAATAAATATGGATCCTTTAAGTGCAGTCTTGACTCTGTTTTGTTGCCCTGTTCTATGATCTCTGTCATGCAAATGTAGCTCAATGTATATGCATTTATGACAAGTCAATATATAGTCAGAGTGCTTACATTTTGATGATATTACAGATCTGATTTTACTTATCTTGTATCTATGACATTTTAAGTTTTCTGTCCTTTATATACACAGTGCTTGCGGCTGCTCACTCACTCCTTCAACCGAGAATACAGCCATGTGTGTGTCAGTGCCAGCGAAAGCAAGGTAATGCTCAAACACTCAAATTTAAAACTACACATGAAAGAAAATCCGATTAATGTCTGCTGAGCTAGCGTGTATCTGTGTGTTTGTGTGTGTCACAGATCTCAGAGATGTCTGTCACAGTGCTAAGAGACTCCCCTTCAATCTCTGCTCTCAACACAATCACACCCTCCACAACATGCCCTTCTCTGGTTGAGGGTTGCTATGTCAACACTGAACTCAGGTCAGTCCTACAAAGTACTTATTGTCATCCTAACCCTGGGTAGCCTTCGTCGGGTGTAGCAGTCTGGATTAGCTTTTTTTATTGAATAACATTTTTAAAGTATTTTGGTCACATAAGGTGTGGGGACGTGCTTTGTTACCAGGGATCATAGACCTTTTGTTTTTTTACTGCAGACCCCCTACGCCTCGCTCTCGTGCCGTCAGCCCCGGTCCTGACACACCGCAGGACGCAGAGGCCAAAAAGTCCATCAATGGAGCCTCTGACACCAAACCCCGGCCCCGCAAATTTGTCCCTGATATCCAAGAGATTAGAGTCAGGTGAGTCGGCCACAGCAACTCCAAAACATCTATCTCTTTGTGCTGTGGAGACATCTTTCTTGGTTTCACATGTGGTGATAATTTGCCTCTGTTTTTGCAGCCCTATTGTGTCAAAGAAGGGTTACATACATTTCTTGGAGCCACACACCAACGGATGGGTGAAGCGCTATGTTGTTGTGCGGCGACCGTACGTCTACATCTACAACACAGAGAGAGACACTGTGGAGCGGGCCATACTCAACCTCTCCTCTGCCCAGGTGGAGTACAGTGAGGACCAGCAGGCAATGCTGAAGGTTGGTGATTAACCAAACTCTCCAAAATAACCTCTGTCTGATCTCTAATTGGTGCCAAAGTCAGATATGGTATTCTAAACTTTTTTGGTATTTTTTTCAACAGACCCCAAACACATTTGCCGTGTGTACAGAACATCGTGGGATATTGCTTCAAGCCACTAATGACAAAGAGATGCATGACTGGCTGTATGCGTTTAATCCTCTCCTAGCTGGAACCATCAGGTAAAAAATAGTTTAATCACTAAAACCTTTAAATGGAAGATGTAACATTTTAATAAAAACATTTCTTTCTGCCTCTTAGGTCGAAGCTGTCGAGAAGACGAGCCGGACAGATGAGGATGTGACTGAGCAAATATCAAGAGAGAAGGATGAACACAAAGACTAAGATGTACATAGATCCTTGTCCTTATCCCTCCCCTTGTGCTGAGCCCCATCCTCGCCCCCCTCCCCAACACAGTCACCAACAACCATCTTTCCCCTGTACGTTCTCAGTTTATCACTAGTGTCCTCAGCACCTAAAGCGCCCATTTCTTGTCAGGCCTTTGCTGCGGTGTGAGTCTCGTAGTCTGAAGAACCTCTTCATAAAGCTGTCACTGTACTGGAGTTTATTCATAGCTGGACGAATGAAGAAAATGGAGGAAGTAGCAACAGTTTCATATCTCAGATTACATACGTATGGTAATGTACTGTAGTTGTTGTCAGTGACACATCAAGCCTTATACATTTATTCCTTAAAAACTGCAGTGACATTTACTTTTTACCTAAAGCTGCCATGTCAGTGAGGATCACATTGCTACATTTGCATCCGTAAAAATAGGCAAACATGCAGATTCTTCTCTACTCTACTCTACGGCTATACATATATACAGTGTCTGAACTGGTTTGCATACAACGTACAGCTAGAAAATACATGCTAAAAGAAAAAAAATGACACTTGAGTGTAACTCTTTAGAATAACTCTCTTTTCTTTGTGGTCCATGAATCCTGACATTGAGTAATCTGCCTCCTATTCCTAAAACCTCTTTGAAATTTTAGCACACAGCCTGGCAAGGGAATGGCATATCATCATAGACTTCATGTTCTTGTGGCATTTTGATCAGTTTATGTCGTTTTAGCTACTTGTTGGAGCACCGAGGGTATCTACATTCACACAAGTAATCAAATATCATCACCAATAATCCTCTCACGTTAATCTCATTCTCTACCTGAATTTTAGTTCTTTTAAAAGTGATATATTTAGATATTTAATAGCTTTATTATTTATTTCTGCATGTATTTATTTACAAAGACATTTATATTTCTAAAGTAGTAGTACCGTGCAATTTCTGCACACCGCACTTTTTAATATGAGTTCCTTAAATGTTTGAATAAAACAACCTTGTCCCCTTGTAGTTAATGCTATTTAAACAATTGAATAACTTAATGATTGGCTACTTTCTTTATGCTGAAGATTACTTGAATAATACTGTCCCCTTTAAGATTAAGATAGTCACACGTGACCTTTGACCCAACTAACATACATCTGAAAAGGTCAATATATTGTTAGGTAGAGAATATTAAGGTGGTGTGTCCATCCTGAGCTGCACAAAGCTACCTTGATAAATGATCAGAAGTATAAAATGTTCCTCACAGTACAGAATAAGAAGCTGGTTTTCTGAATATGTATATTGATTAAATGTAGTGCCTCTCTTTTCAATCATACTGTACAGTATGCCTCTGCACCAGTTGCTTTCAAACTACATCCTTCATGCTGCTATAATACCGTTCTGGAAGTGTCTGCAGATCATATCACATCACTCTCCTGCTTTTTATCATCATCACTTACATATTCAGACAAAAAAGGTATCATTTATGTTGATGTTACATAAAACAGCAATCAGCTGTCATATTGTATGAAATTTCCACAACACAGAGTATACTTCATGTTTATACATTAAAAAGATTGTCAGGATTGTCAGAACACATATGTCTATATTTGGTAAACAATCTTGCTATGAATTGAAAAAAAATCAATGTTGTTGACAAGTTGAAGGTCTGTTTTTTATCCCTTCACCTGATCTTGGATGAACTTTGCAACTGTGCATCTTCTATTGCATTTCATTCAAAGTGACTGAATCTGAAACTGAGCCTGTTCAAATACTAGTGACAGATAAAGCTTGTGAGATGTTGTGTAAAGTTTGAAGGATGAGCATGCCTCAGGTCAGCCAGCCTAGACAGCATGCCCAATGACATTACTACATACTAGGACAACATCTCAAAGCATTAAACTGTTATTTTTATCAAAATATTGGCAAAGTAAGTTTTAGCAGGGGATATTATAACAGGCATTAAGTATTTTGTTTTTATTTTAGCTGCTGAGGTAATGTATTATATACCGTACTCTACTATAAGAATATTTCCTGACACTGTAAAGTGTTCTCTGTGTTGTGGACATTTTTTGAAGTGATCCAATCAAAACATTTTACAGCCCTACATATGTGCACAACTGTTAGTAGTTGTGGTTCATCAATCTTTACTTTGTTGTGTAACAAGTTGGATGATCACTGTTATGATCAAAGTCTATCGCAGACTTTCTCTGCAGAGCCTGCAGTTGTATTTTATCCAGCTATAGCATTGAGGAATACCCTGATGTACTGTACATTACACTGTCTCTAGCACTCATTTCTGTGTGCGCTTGGGATTGCTCCAGTCTGATCTCTGTGTTGAGATTATTCCTCGTGTTTTCTTTTAATGTGCATCACATTTGAGCCAACCAAAGTTTTGTTGGTGCAGTCACATACAAAAAAAAAATCACACTGAATGTACATTGATATTTGAAAATACTTATTCTGCAGGAGTGGCTGTGTTGACTTGTCTTCTGGTTTCACAGTCTGGTTCCTTCATTGATTGTAGGTAGGTAACTATCAGGGAACCAAATGGATGTTGTGGGATATACCTGTAATAATCTGTCCACTGATGTGTGGGGGAAGGTTGGTTCATTACGGCCCTGTTAGGCATTGCATCTTGCACAGAGTAATGCTGTAGGTTATTTTACGGTCACTCTTTAACTCTTATATGTACCTTCACCATCATGCTCTGACAGCCTTCACAAAATCTACTTTTTTCTAATCCCTCCCTAGCCCTTTGAAGGAATATCATTTACATTATTGTGCTTCCACACCTCATCTTTTTTTTTTTTTTTTTTTTGCACTATCAAATTGCACCGGTACAGTTCTTCTTTTTTTTCCTCTTCAAATTATTTTGCATTGTATATAAACATGATTGCTGTGAACAGTGTATTATAAAGTTGCACCCATTTACAAAATCATAAATGGGCAGTAGTTCAGTCAGTGTCTCTGAGTGTTGGAGTTTAGCGTCAAATGTTTGTGTACACTAAACACATTGTCAAATATTAAATAAACATGGAAATTATGCAACACAAAGTAATGGACTCTTCTTCTTTATGTAATCTACTGCATTTCTCTTTGTACCTGGTGACCAGTGATGTGCACGGGGGGGCAGTCGACCCCCACTCGTGGCCCAATTGTTGAAAAAGGCGTGCTAAAGTGCCCTCCTAGTTGGCAAAATACACTAAATTGCCCTCTTGGGTGGAAAAAACACTCAACTGCCCTCTTCTAAGTTCTATTATTAGGTAGATGCCTATTGCCTGTTTAAGGAGGAGCTACCTCACTACGTCTTGTGGGAATAGCTTTTCAAAGCTAGCCAGTAAAGTTAAAAGTTGGGTTAGCATTGCATATCAGGGTTTCCGCCAGGTTTAAGTTGACTCCCCGCCGGGCTAAGCATCTGGGATCATTTTTAAAAATGCTTTCTTGAAAATGCCTTTTAAACTTCAGCTTGCAAGTTAGGACAGAAAGTCTTGTTAGTAGGCCAATGCTATTGAGTAGGCTATTTATGTTGGGCCCTTTGTTGATCTATATTGAGCCAGAACCATATCTCGAAGAAGCAGTTTGGATTATCTGGTGCTAATATGCTGTTAAAATGCACTAGAATACAGGAAATGGCTTCTACTTAACTGAAAATGTTCTGGGGGAAGACCCTCAGACCCCCTAGGGATTTATGTCCTTCATACATCCATGTCCCTGTGTGTTCTTCACAGTCCAACATTGAAATCCACACAATTCTCGTGGATGCTGATCCTAACAGCAAACTAACCTGAGTAGTCTGTCTAGTTAGTCTGTTTTAAGGCTCTATAATGTGCCATTTGTATAACATATAAAATGTGTCTACAGTGCCCTCTACAGTGGTGAGGACGCGCTATATGTGCCCTTTTGTTTCTTTCCGCCCCTGCCCTTCAAAAAGTCTGTGCACGCCACTGCTGGTGACCCAGCATGAATTGACCATTAACAACCACAAACAAATGCATGAACTGGGGTGTGACCCAGTATTTTGAATCATTTAGTACACTGTTAATCGTGCTGTATTCATCGTGATTTTAGTGAACGTGCTCCAAACTACGTGCGCCTGCATTGCACCGGGCAGCTCCCTGGCTGTTACCATGGCAGCAAGATCCAGTTGCCATGTCCGCATACCAGCTTTTTGGGACTGTTTTACACTAGATTTCTGTTCATCTTAAATCTTTTAAATCCACATCTACTAGACTCTAATTTACAGGATTTCTCGGCTCTTCGGCATGACAAAGCATCCTGACTTTCGTGGACTTTCAAATTAAGAGCTTAAGTCAGTGAATAGTGTATCCTGCCTGTTACGATAGTTAAGTGTTGCAGGTAAAAAAAAAGACAGAGACAGAATGAACGTTGATTTTACTTAATATTATATCCTAACATCATATGAATGGAATTCATTAATAAACCACACATTGTATATAAAACAACTCTCATACTGTACATACATCTGACAGGCTGCAGGTTTCACTTTAAGACATCTGGCAACCCAGCGGAGCGGCGCCTCATCCTGTCACACACTCTGGCTAGCTAACAAGTTAGCTGATGATTGACACAGACAGTAATAAACCTATCCAGGACATCTTCACATCACTTCACAAGGTCAGACACAAAGCCAAGGATTTCAGCCTGCCACGCCATACGAAGGAGAGCATGTCTCACTCATTTTCAGCGCTTGAAAGCAAAATCTTGCTCGCAGAAATATGTTAGCAGCACTAGCTAGCTTTAGCTAAAGTTAACAGACTTTAACGTCACCTAATGTAAGTTAGAGTCAGCTGGATAAATATCACCTCGGTCTAGTAAGACATTGCCAGAGATGAGACAGGTTGTTCTAAAGTTCCAGCTGTAAGTTTCCCGGTTATTTGAATTGACTAACAGTTAGGTCACAGTCTGATAGCTGGGTGAATACGTGTCACTGCTGCTGCTGACAATGGGGACGTAACGTCAGCTGACACCACGTTAACGCTAAATGCTTCAAGTGTATGAGATACCCAGCTGGCATTAAAATGATACATTATGTGGTGATAACCGGAATCGGATTGTGAGTAACTGTAGCGGACACCAGAGTTTAAAGATTCATTTCCACCTGCTGTCCTGGAAACAAAACTTCTATTAATGTCCAACCAGCTCTCAAAACACATTGTATTCAAAGCTCACATGGTGCTGTCCAAATACATGCAACCATCACTAATTAAAAGGTTGAGAGGTATAAATAGAGGTTGAGAGTTATTTAAGTTAGTCTTTGATTATAAATCCAGTGAATTCTGCCTGATTGTAATAAATCTACACAGGCGTCCTACTAAATGTGTTCTTTCTTCCCAGGAGCATTATGGCCAAAAAAGCTGATGACTTCACCGCGGTAGTGGGTCCCACCTTCACTGACCACACCTTTCATCATTATTCAGAGATGAATCTAGACAGGTAGGAAGGTTTGATTTGGGTGGGTCACCTCGTATCAGCCTTTCACTCTGAACCAATGAGGTGATGATTTTGAATGCTCTCGCGCATACAGGCCTAACGCAGCACATGAAATGTGAATGTTTCTGTCTAATGAACTCAATGTAATATAGGATTTACATGGACTACAATGCCACTACCCCGCTGGAACCAGAAGTGATCGAGACCATCTCTGAAGCCCTCCAGGATGCCTGGGGAAACCCGAGTAGCAATTACATAGCAGGTGAACAATACTTAAAACTGCATCGAAATGACATCGAACTGATGTTGGAATTGAAAATGCAAAGCAAGTTTTAGTGTAGATTAATTTCCTTTACTATCAAGACAAGACAAATGTATTTATATACTATGTTTCATACCCAAAGTGCTTTACAGAGTACACAGGCAAAAGTACAAAAAACTAATGATAAAAACAATAAAAGCAAATAGGCAAAAACACTCAGAGTAAGAAGAATAACAACAATAAAACAAACAATCAAAAGCACACAGAATAAAAACAATAAAATTGATTAATAAATATATTTTTATTTAAAATTAAAAACAGTGAGCTAATGCTAATTTACCTTAATTTGCTTTCTCACTACCCAGCCAATAATGTTGTATCTCAGCAAGCAACCAATAAAACAGTACTTTTTCTACACATTATTTTTATTTCTAGGTGCTAAAGCCAAGGCAATGATTAATCAGTCCAGAGAGAATGTGGCGAGAATGGTTGGAGGTAAAGCTGAAGACATCATTTTCACATCAGGTGGAACAGAGGTAATCGTTAATGTTGGCTCACTTTTTGATCTGGTTTTATTAAGCTACATCATTCATAGCGAATAAATCTTCTTTCAGGCCAATAACCTGGTGCTGCACACTGCTGTAGAGCACTTCAGGAGAAGCTGCAGGGCTGCAGAGCAAGGTGAAGGGCACCAGAATGGAAGCAATGGCCTCCCTCACATTATCGCCTCCAATGTGGAACATGACTCCGTTAAACTGGTAGCTGAGCACCTGCGGAGAGACGGCAAGGCTGGTAAGAGCCCATCCTGTAAAGTTTTATTCAGATTAATAGCAGGAGAATAACGTGGATTATTATTTAAACAACTAACCTAAAGTAGCTTCCTTACATTCACTGCCTTTGATGGATTGTTTGGGTAACTGTGTTTCAGATGTGACGTTTGTGCCTGTCTCCAAGGTGACAGCCCGTGTAGAGGTGGAGGACGTCATTGCCGAGGTGCGTCCCAACACTTGTCTCATCTCTGTTATGCTGGCCAACAATGAGACGGGAGTCATCATGGTAAGAAAGAGATAGAGGCTCCGAAACCTGACGGCCTCTTCTACTGAATGTTTCCCAATAAGTGCATCTCTTTGTAGTACTGATAATAGAGAATATTTTTATTATCATAAAAAAATTATCATTTAAGTAGCTGATGAAACATCTTCATCTCGTCAGCCAGTCCAAGAGATCTGCCAGAGAGTAAGATCTCTCAACAAGCAGCGTGAGCAGCTCAGGGTCCTGGTTCACACTGATGCTGCTCAGGCTCTGGGCAAAATCCGAGTCGATGCCTGTGAACTGGGAGTGGATTACCTCACCATAGTGGGACACAAGGTCAGGAATCTGTTGTGTGAAATATCTTCATTTGGCATCAGATAGAAAATTGGAGAACATTTTATTGACAGGTTTTGACGCATTTGTAGTTCTACGCCCCTCGGATTGGTGCTTTGTATGTGAACGGCCCCGGAACGAGAACACCATTGTGTCCGATGCTGTTTGGAGGAGGACAGGAGAGAAACTTCAGACCAGGGTAACACATCGACTCACTTGAGGAATAATCAATAAAGTACAAATTGTGCATGAAACAACGGCCAAGATCAGAGAGCTGTACATCTAAATGTAAGGGTCTATAAGGGTGTTCTCTCTTTCTGAACATTACAGCACAGAAAACACACCAATGATTGCAGGTCTGGGAAAGGTATGTTTCCTGCTCCATATATGTCTTTCAGCAATATTTTTGAAGATTTTAGAACATTTCTCTTGAAGCTTACATAAAATAAGAGGTTATAAAGAGGTTTTATCTTCTCGATTTAAAAGTGCATATTTGAGTGAAAAAACTGAATATTTTTGCACACGTGTTGAAAATCCCATAGCAGTAATACCTGTTTGTGATTTGTTGCATTGTGAAAAAATCTCTATAATGACTTCTGGTCTCTACATAGAATGGTACCACTTGCTAATAAGGAACCCTATATAAGGTCGAAACTAATGGCTTTAATGAATCGTCTTAGCATATACTAACTATATGCCATTACTATGAACACATTTGGACTTGCACTGGTGTTTAACATTTCTGTTTGGTAATAATGCAGTTATAAATATTGGCAATCTATTAATAATTGCCTAATTAAATTAATTTAATATACTTTTCTGGAAGGCAGGTGGTCATCCAATCAGTCATAGGGATTTTTCACAACCTGGAAACCCAAAATTTCCGTCTTAATGGTAATAATGATTTATATAAGGCCAAAACAATAAGGCCAGTAGTTACAGCTTATAAATCCTATATAAAGGGTGTCTTATCAGAAAGTACTAGAATTGTATTTCACCCATTCCTGCCTTTCCCCACCAAACGTGACTCTATACATACATTACTCTATTGTAGAGCTACAGGGGATCAACTAAATTATACTACATCATTATGCAATCCAGTACCAGCCTTGCAGTAATACATTTATAAAACCTAAAAATAGCTAAGACTGTGGCTTGTTGTGTTGTTGAATTGAGAAGTGTTTGGTAATATACTGAATAAAAACAATATCTAATCAATTTCTACATTTGATCTGACCCAGCTGTTATATAGTGTCATTTTGGTGATTTATCATAGCTGAGTGTTATTATATTGTGTATCATCAGATACACCCATACTACATACTGCTTATGTGTTGGCAATGTAATGGTGAGCAACATATGATAGTGTTGTATCATGTTTTAGACTGATCCCACACACACCCCACTTGTACATTTTCATATTACTGCATTTTGTTTGTCAAGAATGTTGTTTTTTCTTCTTACTTTTTGGAATCAGTGTGAACACTTATATCGTTATGATAACCTCATGCAGAATGAGTTCGCACTTATTAGTCTAACTAAAACAGATCAAATACTAATGCTATTGATACCAAAGATGTCATATTAAGCATCATTTATATCTACTGATGTTATGTGTCTGTTAGGCTGCAGAACTGGTGACCTCTAATCTGTCAGAATATGAGAGTCATATGCGAAGTACAAAACTTTACTTAGAAGAACGACTAAAGGTAAGTTTGTAATGTCACGTTCTCTTTGTGACTGTAAGACTGTAGTTGTAAATCAGTTCATAATGTGATTTGGGTTATTTGAAATATGTTTGTGGTTCAGATGACAACCTACATTAGCATTATTCTGTTGCTTACCTTTTACACATTATAAAGGTGTATCATTAGTATGTTTTCCTTTTCAGGCCGTCTTTATAGACAAGATTCACTTCAACAACCATTACCCAGGCTCTGATATCCTCCCTAACACATGTAACGTGTCCATCCTGGGCCCAACATTACAAGGTGATGTCATGACTCCTCCGTCTTCGTCCTATGTCTGTTTAGGCCTGCCACTCCAACACAGTGTCCTCTAACCCTACACCAATGTTTATCGGAGACAGTTCATGACCTGCTCAGGGCTATTTGTAAACTACAAAGGCTCTGAATGATTAATCTCTCTCTCTCTCTCTCTCTCTCTCTCTCTCTCTCTCTCTCTCTCTCTCCTGGTTTAGGCTGGAGGGTATTGTCCAACTGCACGAGGCTGCTGGCCAGCGTTGGTGCCGCCTGCCACTCAGACAGTGGAAACAGGTAAAAGAGGGCTATGGTTATGCTTTTGTCCAGACACCATATTGATCGCAGTTACATAACTGCCCTGCGCTGCACTGTGTTTGTCCATCAGGCCCTCCCATATCCTTCTGAGCTGCGGCGTCCCCTCGGAGGTGGCAGCTAATGCCTTGAGGTTGAGCGTGGGCAGGGGGACGACCAAAGCAGATGTGGATGCAGTCGTGGAGGACCTGAGGGATACGGTGCGACTGCTGGAAGGAATGGACTGATGGCATAAACAGTTGCCTTGAGGTCAAATAAGGATGTGCAGAATTAAAAATACATCACCATCATGTGTTTATTGTTACATTAACTGATCATGTAAAATGGATGAAATGTGTAATATAAATAATAAAAGGGAAGAACTTGAAGTGACCTGGGGGGGTGATGTTATGGAGAGATGACTGTATTCAGCTTCCATCACGTCATGTGAGTAGCCACTCTGCTAATTGGAGGCCAATATGTATGAGTGTTATGGAATAAACATACACATACAATGTTTCTCACTATAAAATATTCTATGTAGATTATAATCTTGCAGATTTACCAGGTGTTTAGTCATATCCACTGAGATGAATTTTTAAAATAGTTGTAAAAAATAACACTCGTTGTAATCCACCATGCCTTGGCTCTGACTTCTCCCATTACTTAAGTTTCCGTGCTGCCTCAGCTCCCCCATCTCCAGTGAAGCGTTGGTGCGTGTGCCAGCATATGGTCACTGCCACACAAAGGAGAGCAGGAGGCTGTGAGTGGTGCGCCTCCACCCGTCTTTCATTACCTTTCTATCTCGCTGGCTCTGACCCCCTCCTCTCTTCCCCAACAACCATGCTGGCCAGCTGGCTGCCGCTCGGGTGTCACTTTCCTGGCTCGGGTGAAGGCAATGAGTGCATGAGTTTTTTGTTATTGTATGAGAGTTGAGCATGAGGGAGAAAGAGATGGTAACTTGCTGGGATCCAAAGCGCTCCAGGGAGCTTGTTCTGCGTGCCATAACCTACTCATAGCAGCCAGGGATGGTGCTTCATCGGGCCATCCAGGCGGCTCGAGCAGGGGATCTCACCACCCTGAGGGAGCTGGCATCCTCTGGTCACCTTGCACCTGCCATCACTGATGCTCAAGGTGCTGGCCCAGTGCACCACGCAGCAAGGTGTGGACGCCTGGAGTGCCTGCAGTTCCTGGTGGGCGAGCTGGGGCTGGCGGCTGATGCCCGGGCCTTGAACAGGGCCACACCGGCACATGATGCAGCAGCCACTGGCCACGTCCGGGAACTGCAATGGCTGGTAGACCAAGGGGGCTGCAACACTAAGGTAAGTTTATCCACTGAGAACAATTTCTACTTAGAGAGAGAGAGAGAAACCTACCCTCAGATGCTTGGAGAGATGCCACATGTCCAGCTTTCCTGGTAATTTCTAGTGACTGGGTCGTGTGTGCGTCCAAATTGAGGCAGTGGCTTTAGATGGTCATCTAACTGATCCGGGGCTGAGGTTACATCACTGCAGTAGTAAAAGGTGCTGTACACTACCTTTTCACATGTGTTACCAGCTCATTACATCATATGGTGTTGACTTACTCGGTATCCATTAGTATTATGTAGCAAGTGTAATTATGTCCAGATGCCTAAAGGGAGCTCCTGCTGAACTTATCATTAGTAGAGGATCAAGTCTACCTACGTGTGTGATTTCTTAAAATGATGCAGGCCCATTTGGGCAAATTTGCCGAACCTTGCCTAAAACAAAAGAACATGTAATGTTTCATCTTATTGTTTCTTGACCATTCCTAAAGGAGACCACCACATGTCTTAACTGAAGGTCCTCACAAGTATCCCTACTGTAGCTTTGGAGAAGAAATGCACCTGTTTAAGATCTTGCACCGTGGGCTTTGTAATTAAGAGTGTTTACCTACTGTTGGTAAACACTCTTAATTACAAAGCCTATACAGAAGAGGAGTTCAGTTAGTCTTCATCAAGCTGCTTCTAAACTGAATCTTGACTGTTTCCAGGATAAGGATGCTGCTGGTGCCACCGGGCTCCACCTCGCAGCCCGGTTCGGGTGTGTGGAGGTCATTAAGTGGCTGCTTTCTGTTGGGGGAGTGGCCGAGGTGGAGACAAACTGTGGGGCTGTACCTGCTCACTATGCCGCAGCCAATGGGGACCTCACCTGTTTAAAACTTTTGGTTCAGCAGGCACCTGGGTGAGTTCACGGCCCTTACTTTCACTGCTAGTTTGCACTGTGCTAGATGCAAAGCATCTAGGGATGGCAGTGTTGGTCTGTCCACGTGACTGAACTATCTTGATATCTGTTTGATGGATTGCTATGACATGGTGCACATTCATGGTCTCCAGATGATGAATCATACTGTCTTCGGTGAACCCCGGGCTTTTCCTTTTTCACCAACATCAGGATGACAGTTGTGGTTTAGAGTGAAATATCTTGACATTTATAACAGATGGACATTTACAACAGATACTCAGTGTCCCTAGAGGATAACAACTTCGGTGATCCTCTCCTTTTCCTCTTATTTTGTACACACATCCATTGTCCCCTCAGGATGAACTGTAATAACTTTGGCAATCTGACTTTTCATCTTTTGCCATCATCTCAGCTGTACTTTGTGTTTAGTGCTTGTTAGCAAATGTTTGCATGCCAACACGCTAAACCAACACGGTGAACATGGTAAATTACGTTACTACTCGCTAAACATCAACATGCTAGCATTATCATTGTAAGCATGTTAGCATGCTGATGTGAGCATTCAGCGCTAGTAGAGCTTCACAGACCTGCTAGCATGGCTTTCGGCTCTAAAAGTCTATAAGCATAGATTTTATAGAGTGTTTTCTTCGTAATAGTTACAGCAGAATGTCAAGAATGTTGTCTTTATTAGGTCGACATTGTCTGATATTGTTGAAGTTCTTTTCAACCTAGAACTGAACTAGCACCTGGTTACCATAGATGAGCTAGATTGACATAAAGTTTTCACAGAATATTTCATTTTAAAAAAGTATTACAGATTCCTCTGTTGTTGAAAGTCGGATTTTATCTACGCCCATGAGAGCACCGACTTTAATAGAAAGTTATTTGCTACGGAGCAAGGTTAAAACTTTAACCTCCCACAACTTTAATGTAGCCAGGCTCTGGTTCCCAACATTTGCATGATTTGCATTCTTGCTACTGCCACATGTAAAACATATATCCGTTATGTTTAGCTGACTATTTCAACTATAGTTATTTCAAATGTTATCTCTAACTAACTATTACAACATTTTTTCCCATAACTTCAGGCTTACGGTTGAGCTATTACTTTTAACAAACTATGTCCACCATATATTCATTACTTTTGGCTAACTACAGCTATTTCAAATGTTATAACTATTTCAACAGTTTACACATTACTCTAGGCTATTTCAATTATTTATCCATTTCTTTTAGCTAACTGTTTCAAAGTTATATTACTTATAGCTAAGTATCTCAACTGTTTAGCTATTATTTTGCGTTCAGCAATTTCAACTGTTTAGCCATTTCTTTTAGCTGACCACTTAAGCTACTTGTCCTTTACTTTTAGCTAACTAGTTCAGATTCTCTGCTTGCTTACTAGTTTTCATACTCATCATATATTGGTCACAAGTCGTGGTGTTAATGTTGACTGGTGGGTTGGGAGGGAGTATTGTATGTATTGTTCAGTCAGCCTTTCATAACCGGTAACTTACCTTTTATTGTAAATATACTGAAGATCAGTATTGTCCTAGGCTGTTTATTTTCCTCCTAAGCACAAATATATGCATATATTCTTTTAAATGAAAACATTAATATTTTCATTTTTTTTCATATTAGTTGAGCTACTTAACAATCTTTCCATGTGCCCCCTGTTCACTGCAGAAGTGCCCCTGGTTGGGAATCACTGGCTTAGAGGACGTATCATGCACAGCTATTTTCATAATCACTGATCAAGAAGTTGATCTGCACCACGCCACAAGGACAGCAATGACTAAAAACATTACCACTGTAAGGGTGTCTCTTTACAGATTCATAAACTTAGGGAAAATTATTCAACCTGACGATGAGTTAACATAACTGAAACATTGGATGGAAGTTAATGGTTTAACAAAAACCTGTTAATGTTAGGAAACAGGGTCAGGGAAACTGCTACTGAACTTAAATAAATTCAATAAAACAAATTGTGCCACATACCTTAGATAACCAAAGGAATAAAGGGCACCCCCTTTTGTTGACAGTGACTTGCGTTAACAAGAAACACATATTGGACCATGCACCTTGGAATCTTACTGGGAAACGTACTGTGGGCTCTCTTATTAACCATTATAATAAGTGTGTTGCTATTTGACACACATGACTGTAATATGATAGTTACAGCTTTGGGTGCATATATATGTAGGTTCCTTTTGTTGCTACCAGACCGCTATCCAGTAGATCTCCTATAAGTTATTATGTGTATTTCTATGTAAAATCTCATTTGCAGATGATGACTAAATATTCAATATGATTATTCCCTTTTTGATGTGGCTCATAACCAAACAAAATGATTGATGGCATTTATGGCACTTGTGCATAGGGGCAGGTGGACACGAGAAATGTTAATCCCCCCCATGAATCCCATATCGCTGCCATCTCCTCAACCTGAGACGGTGGCACTTAGTAAGGACCAGATAAAGATATGTTGCTCTTCCTGCTTCAGCTCCTCGTTACAGGAGAGTTTTGACTTATTTGCATGACACATGGCAGGGTCACACAATCACATGTGACCATCAGTAACATGAATAATACATGCCTAGACAGTCGGTCATATGTCAGCCTTGTGGTAGTGGAAGCACTTTACAGAATGTATGGTAATGTAAAGGTAGCCCTACAGAGTCTACCATGATTGATGGACAAGAACCAACAAGGTTTTGATCTTTAGTTTATACCCTATATGTCTGTATTTTTTTGATATAATTACTATTTTCACCACATTTCCAATATCTGGAGATGCTCTCAATATACTAAATGTTGACTTACTGACTTATCTGGGTTTGTTGCGTTGCCCCTGTCATTTCTTAAATATCAATATCAAAGAAGTGAGTTCAACACGTAGTAAGCACAAGAGAATCAACACTTTTTACAACATAGAATCACTGTGTATTATTCATACTTACAGTAGAATTTTAGCTTTAAGTTTGTCCATCACTTCAGATGCAAAGATAGATCATGTGATATTTTTATTCCCAGAGACTAAGAACCACAGATCAGTATCTCTTGTCTATTTCTTCTAATAATAATGCGTAGGGACAATATCACAAGTTTTTTCACACATTAAAATGTTCAGGAGCATATCCTTGTTTTGCTAATTTTATGTTAACAATAGTGAATTTTTTTCTGATATT